TATATATATAATATGAAACATACTCAACTGAGATCAGTATTGAAATTCTCATCGCGCGCGCACAGTTCTTATCAATGTTATACAATTAATATAGAAAAGAAAGCATTTTTTGCAAAATTTTTATTTTAAAATGCTTTCAAATTACATATAACGCAGTGTACAAAGAACGGATATAAAATTTTTCATTATTTTGAAAAAAACGTTACTCTATGTAATATGAAAGATCGAAGTTACATGCGACTGATATAATATAAAACATGTAAAATTTATCAATCAGTATCATAAACATGTTCTACTTGCACGTCTTCGACCAAAGATATCAAACCAGGGGTACATATTTGATAATATATCAATTTTTTATATTTATAGGCAATCTAGATCTCAGCAAAGTGTAAAATAGAAGTAAATAACAGTGTGCATTGATATGATATGTTGTTTTGCTATTTCTTACAAAAAAGAATTTAATTCGTATAATCTTACTAAAATTATATATACCTATAGAAATATTTATAGAATCAAACTACTAACGTCTTATATCACATAAAAAATAATAATTTCAATTTTATTGCAGTGATTCAAACTCAATTCCCTCGAATCATCGCTTCTTTAATCTGTCATAATTGGTGGCTTTTACTAATAAATAATAAGTATTCCTATAAAAAAAAAACATGATAACTTATCCATATTTTTGAAACGGATCTGGAAAAACTTAACTTCTCTTTGATATGTTCTCTTTAATATGAAAGAAAACATGTATTTATGTTGTTAATACATAAACTTGAAACATCTTATAATAATTTTATTACTATGGCAGATTGCTTTTTTAAGCTTTTCTTTTGTCTTAAGCTTCTGTTACTATTATATTGTAGATCCTAGATGTTATTTAAACACAGATTTTTGTTCATATTATAATATCCTCTCTATTATTTTCTATATTAATAAAAATTGCTTATATATCGATGTTCTTATATGTCTATTGATAATGATTTCATATTATATAAAAAAATTTGATATCTTTCTATATATCTATTTTAATAAAATTGCATGTAATAAATTTCTTTATTATTGTCGCATTATTAAATTATCTATTTTAATAATCGCAAAGCGATTTTATATATATTTTTTTCACCTCTTTCTAAATATAATATATAATAATAATAATAAAATAGTAAAATCCACATATTTTATTCGTGCAAAAAAATATACATAGTATATTCTTCAGCAGAAAACATAAAAGTGGAACTTTTGCCGAAAATTATCGACATCATAGAGAGAAAGTCGTTTACGATTATATTACAATATGATATATAAATATTGAAATACTCAATAAATAAAATTATAGTTTGGCAATAATTAAATGATCAATAAAGATTAAACATGTAAGCTGTGATATTGATTTATTTAATAATATAAGGATTTAAATTAATAAATTTCGATATTTCTTCAAGAGTCTCATAATTTAACAACAAAAATATAATGATATTAGAAATAAATATATAGTTATCGTCTGATAAAATCTTAATTCTTTTGGCTAATTATGTATATTGTCAACATTGTCCTACCTAATTTTGTAATAACAGAACAATTTTTACAATAAAAAAACAAAATCAAAAGTTTTTAACGCGATATTTTTTTATGATTGAACAATTATAACGTACAGTACACGTACGTTACACGTATTTTATATTCTAAATTTAGAAATATCTAATCAGAGTAGTTCCAAGCTTTATTTTTGCAAAATTTCTTTACAGAGAAGCATCAGTAGTATCATGTTCAAAGATTTATTAATTAAATCCGTTCATTCTCGAAAAATGCATAAGAATATTTTGTGCTTAAGTAAACTTTTTAAAGCACGGTATGAAATCATATAATTATAATATTATGATAATAAGAACTTGCTATTAGATATTAAAGAGATATGTATAAAATTAGGGAGATACAAAATTATGCTACATATTTTTATAAGTAGCATATATATCTTAAATACTTATATATATATATATTATTTAAAAGTCTATGTAAATTAGTGTTGTGGTGTTTTATGTTTCTGCATTATTAATAAATACTTCTGAATATGTGTTCTTATAAATTGATTTATGTGATTTAAATATATATGAAATATATAAGAAAAATTCGAAAGAGCATCACTTTATCTTAATTCGTTCTACTTTAAGATCAATAACGCACTTAGCATGGACGCTAACCTTATTAAAATATGTTATTTATATATGACGATATATAAATAACAAAGGCGTGATTAATAAGAATATATTAGTTGCCTATAAACTATTCGGAAACAATTATTTCATATCTCATAACAAGACATAGAGAGTTTGTAAAATATCGTATTCTTAATAAATTGTGCATAAATTATATTTATAGCAGGAGGTAACGTAATTCGCGAAAACTCATTTCCTTCATGTATTCCTATAATATAGAGAATATCTCTCTTTTTCTCTATTATTTTATATACAAATATTAATCGCCTGTTATGTTTGGTACAAACAAATTACTTTCGAGACGCGCAGAGACAAAATTCTCTCGTCTCCTATCACTTGATATATACAGCAATATTAAATTATGCAAATATTATAAAATGATTTCTACAGAATTTATAACATTATTGTATCGTTTTTCCGTTATCACAGATTGTTTTGGTGATAGGCCTATTTGCGATATCACATATTCGATGGAGGCCTATAGTGGACTAGAACATTTTAGCAGAAAACAAAGTTCTGTGTTAAAATGTTTAAACTGCCATCACGTTTCCAGCGTCGGAAACAGTCTTGTTAATACAAAATAGGCCACGTCATAGTTATTCCAATACCCCGTATGGGCTGTTACTGTGTATAAATAATTCCTTCCTAAACCGACCGCACGTAGTACATAATCCAATCGTTGCGCTAATTCTAATGAAACAAAAAGAAAATATCTGTAAATGAATTTTATTATTTACAGAGAAAGTATTACGCTGTTAAATTGTAATCGCGACACATACGTACCTTGACCTGGACGGATCGGTGGATTTGAATCTGTTGGCGAAGACGGACCTTCCTTAACAGCCCATCCGCCTCGCACTAAATCCCAAAGACTCCAACCCTTCTCTGTATTACGATTAGGTGTGTCCACTGGACTATCATCTTTATCATCACCTTCTATTAATACATTCAATTATATTTTATTATTATTATTTAAATAGTCAAAAGTTTGTGATATATTCAGATCTTTTCAATTTTTGTGTGAAGCAGATTAAATGCTAAGACATTTTTTTATCATTTGTGCTAATTATTTTCATTCAATTACACAATTTAAATTTAATGATTATTATAATAATTGTGTGCGTGTACAATAATAACAATTATATATATATATATATAATAGATAGTAATAAAAATATAAAGAATGAAACACCTGTAGGCGATAGAGTTGGATCCACATTGTTCAATGACGAAGGCGATTGTGGGGGCATTTGCTGTCCATCGATTCCACCATACGGTGGTATGAGAACTGGTTCAACTTTACTGTAACCTCTTTCCAAAAGTGGTTCCATTCGATAAGCTACTGGATCGGACCAATGAAATATATTGTAAAATCTCTTACATAAACCTTGCGGCATCATGTCTAATCTATTGGATGGAGCACGTGTACGCAACGCTAGGAATACAGACAACGGCGAACCCAAACAAAATAAATTCTCGATCTGTGAACAAGAAAATGTGATTTTTTCAGTGTTTTTTTAAATATAATTCTTATAATAACTAAATTTACTTAGTAATTTATTTATTAATTATGTATTGCTTAGAGAATTGTAACAACTTACAGGAAATTGTAAACCTTGCAATAAAACTTCTTGTGCCTGTGGGGATGGAAGTCGCGTGTCATGTCCCATCCAGCCTGTAACTATGTCATACACAATTACACATCCTAGGGAATGTGCCAAAATTGAAACCTTTCCTTGCCAACCAGGATGCCGACTTGCAAACATAAAGTATAATCTATTTAGCTCCTTCTGCAAGCCAGTTCGAACCTCAGCACCATATAATGGACTTGTGTAATATAAAATATCCATCGCTGATGTATTTAGCAAGTGACGTATGCTTAATACACTATAGGGTGTAATTGCTTCCACTATATCTGAGAAAAGGGATACATTCAATAAATTATTTATTTTTATCGCGTTGTAAAATCTTTGTTTTACCTCCGTCTAATTTTAACGATGATCGCCATTCAACTGCAAAAAATTCAACTCTGTGTTTGGAATTTGGAAAATATTTTTGCTTAAGCCAATCCACGCAATCCCGAAAACTGTTATTTCAATCATATTTAAAGATTTATTATAATATAAAAATATTGTATTAAATGAGATTCATAAAAGGAATTGTTATTCTTATACCATGTAGTGTTACGTATAATTTTTCCCGTATCACGCTTCTGTCCTATTCCATGAACAACAAATACTAGATGGTCAATATCCCGCGGCTTATCTTCTATATTTGCAAGAGTTTTATAACCCCTCTTTAATCGATAGCCTGTTGCTGTAATTTTAAAATTAAAAAAAGATGTAAATATGTTCGTATAATATGTATAATAATACAGATAGTCTTTATTTTTTTTTATCTTCAATTTTATATTTACTTTTAGCAAAACCTAATTTTGATGTAACGCTGCGCATCAATTTAGTAGGTGTATATTCACTGTATAGTGTCACATCATTAATTGAATGCCAGTCGACATGAAATTCAGAGAACTGTTCGGTATGTAATACTAAAAAGACATTACAAAAAGAAAAGCTTTAGTATCGATATCCAATGCATGTTATACAAGTTTAAGAAACTCAAGAGAATAAAACTGAATGAAAAGAATACCTTTACAGGACTGAGGAGCATTTGTATAACAATTTGAGATACTTTGATTGTTTTTTCTTTCTTTTTGGAATAATTTAAGATGGACTTCTTCTATCACTTTGGAATGTTCTGTTTCTAATGGTATCCAGCTTCCATCGTAATACCATGTACTCCTCATAATTTCCCATTCTTCACCTTTCATTAAAAAATATACACAATATATTACATTTGTATAAATTCAAATTAAATACATGTATGTCGTATTTTATGCGAGATTAAAGTTTTTACTTTTATAAAACTGAGCATTTTCTTTCTACTTTTATTAATTTTGTTAAAAAAAGAGCAAGAATTCAAGTTTCCAACTTTTGCACAAAAATTTAGTATATTAATTAACTAATAGATTTAACAAAAAATTTTGTATAAAACTTTAGAGAGAAAATTTGAAAAAAACATGACATAAATTTATTCACACAGTAATGAGACTAATAAACCCTATATTATATACATTGTAAAAAAACATATATAAATAATATATATTCTGTTAAATGATCTCACAATGGACTTTTTTTACAGCATGATAGAATCTATGGCCCCTATTATATTTATTTCGCACATGTTTTGCGAGTCATAATAGGCACACAGTCAATAAGAATTGGCTATAATAACCCCAAGGACAAACTAATCTCTGCAGTACAGATATACTGCACACAAACAAGAAAATATACAGAAATCTAGACAGGCGTAGAATCGTTATTGAGACATTCATATGTATTCGCGCCAACTGTATTGACTCATATTAACATTGATTGAACCAATAATTGTACTCGATAAGTGTACAATGGCATAAAGTACAAATTGAGAGCAATAATAGCAATATGAGATAATAAAAATAAATAAAAAGTAATTTATAATACTCACCTGGCCAGTATATTGAAACACATTTCATATTATCAATTTCAACATCGTACATGCCTCCTCTAACAACAATTTTTTCAGCAGGTGGCAAACCGTTTATATCATCATTATTTTCTCTAATTAAACTTTGACGTTCTTGATAAAGTTTCTCGATTCTTATGCTGTCATATCCACCAAATTCATTCCATCTTTTGTCAACACCATCTTTATAAAACCAACGTATTTCTTCAGCAGTCAAAGGTTCTGCATAAGTAACTTCATTTACAATTTCTACATTGTCCTTTGGACTTTCCTCTATGATTGCTTTGTCATCGCCTTTGTGGAATAGAAATAAAATCATTTCATTACATTTCACATTATCCTTATAATTACAGTATAATATTAATAGTAATAAATATTTCTTACTTAATGCACTTTTATTTTAATTATTTATACAGAATATTGATCATCTTTATATATAATAGAAGTACAAAGACATTAGATAATTTGCATCTTTTAAATTACAAAAAATTTAATCTTAATATGCTTTTAAAAAAACATTTATAAATATAAAAAAAATTTTTTCATTAATTTTTCGAATTTTTAAACATTTACACATTTATGGATTCTCTATTTTCTGATCTAATATTTGTAAGCTGTTTTAAGAAAAGATGCGTGTGCCGATGTTATGCCCGATAAATTCAAATAAATAAAACTTAACTTAAAAAATTTAATTTTATATCAAAACACAAATAAATTAAAAGTATGTATGTATTTTAAGTGGCGAGGAATAAATTTGTCCCGTATGCTTTATCATATACACTTTATCACGTACATTTTATACAGTATTCTGTTTGTGTTTTCAAAGATTTTCTAGTTCAAACATTCCATAGACGCACTCAAGTATATTCGCGATAAGCGATAACAGCCTAACGTTGCCTAACATTGTATTGTCACTTATTTATTTCTGAACACTGAGTGATAACATCGCTCTCTAATATACAATTATTATACGACAAAATTACAGCAATATGAGTATAACAATATATATATGTTTATTTTATTATATATTATATTATATTCGTCTCATACATACCTTCGCAAGGATCTTGTTCCATAGGAATCTCGCTGAACGGATCGATATCTCTTATATTGCCAGACATTTCAACGTTGACAAGGTGTTAACTGACAATAAGTGTAATCACAAGTATACACGCTCGGATTCGAGTTCAACAGACGGCGATATAATAATTGGTCGTCGCGCGTGGGCGTAGAATCACCGCACTGACGCACAGAAGTGTCGCAAGTTCTTATAGCGGAGCTGTCACTGTCGCTACGAGCACATAGCACGCGCGTGACAGATAATGTATAATAAATACTACACGAGCGTATATAGAGCATATAGCGAGATGAAGACACGTCTCGATTAATCTTTGCTTCCTTTGTAAATTACAGTCCAAGTGTCCGGTGGACACACGAATGTCCTCGAATGAATCTCGTTTTCGCGAGAATGTACTAGAGTGGTATCGAAAGCGACACTATCTCTCCGGACACAAGACCTTGACGGGATCGCCTTCCCTCCACGATTATCTAAAAGGAAAAAAAGAGAAAAAAAAAACGTTTCACTGCGATATGATATTGTATTCAATCGTCTATATTCAACACACACATCGTGGTCCTTTGCTCACTTTATGTAACGCGTTTTCGACCGTACTTGACAGTACCTAATACGCGCTCCCGCGACCAGCTGACGATGCACCAATGAAAGTCGACGCGGTGCGTATTGTCGGACGGCGCACGCTATGACGTATAGCGATGTATACATGTGTATACTCGTCCCTATATGCATTACAGATTACAGAATGGTGTGCGCACGCGCTTTAAACAAATGGCGTGGGTAGAGGGAAGATAATTTCGAATGATATTTTGCATGTATGCTTACACTATTAATTGATCCGACGAATTATTTCGCAATTCGATCTACAAAATAAAATTTGAAAAATGTAACTTTATATGTATATCCATATTCATACATATATTTGTGTTTAATAGCTATATTATATGACTAAATAAAAACGTCTATATACATATTAGTATATCATAACGTCATCATTATGTCAATGTGGCATTAAATATTTTTTATAAGTTTCTCAAATGGGAAGCGATATACATATTAATCTTCACAAAATCGGACTACCGTTAACATTTAAATATAGTATTAAATATAAGAATATTTAATACTATATTAAAATATTTGATGTTACGATTATGCAAGACATTTAATACAAAATGAAGAAAAAAAGATACTTGTCATTTAACCTTGGAGAAATGTGCGGCACGTGTCAAGCGTTAATAGCTGTCGAATGTATCGCTCACAATCAGCTGATTATCGAATTACTTTCTGCTCATACTGATTAGTCATCGTACTCTTAGATACATAATATGACTCGTTCCTGTCGAAAGGTGGATCTCTCATCTATACACAAAATGTATATCTAATAAATATCAATATTTGTTAAAAGGCATTTACTATAATGTCTAATATATATTTATCATATTTTCCACGCATTTAATAAGCAGTGCATGCGCGCATAGCGTGCAATATCGATGACGTCGTCCTTGAATAATCGTCACGCAGCATTTCGCGCGTTTTTATTTCTGTGGCGAATTATATTATTTCAGATCCGTGTAGCTAATCGCGTACGTTTACTTCGAATTATCGCGCACGCAATTATTCACGCAGACACACACATTTTAATTTTAACGTTAACAATAAGTCACTTAACGCATGCATTTCGAAGTATAACACATATACTAGGAGAATTTGGATAATTCGATCCTTCCTTTGAAGAAAAGCACGAAGATTTTCTATCGAAGCGAAAATTATTCCATCTGATCCCTGCACATGTCCCACGCTTTCTATTGCGTTGTCGTTTTGTGTATTTAATAATGTTGTCAAATATTTCGCCATATATTGGATCTGTGCCCAGTTTTCACAACGTCGAATTTTATTCTAATTTTAAATTCTAATTTTCTATCTCTTAGTTTAGCTAAAAGTAGCTTAGTTTATAGTCATCGCGCTCTGTATACATTTTATAACTCATCATCGGTTACAATCTAAAAAGCGTAAGATAAGGAGGCTGATTATCTTACACGATTATCTCACGGATGACTCTTTATCGTTACAAAAATAATGATACTGGAAATAAATAATAAATAAAAATGTAAAAAAAAGAATGATTTAGTTCATCTTTTCACCGATTCTGAGAAATCTTCAAATTTAATTCTGAAAATTTCCGTATCTCTGAAATGTAAAGATTCCTGTACGCATATAACGCACGTTATATTAGGTACTATCAAAATGCATGTAATTAAGAAGCAGAATCTTTATCGCAATCCGACATAAATACCGGAAAAGTAATTACAAAATTTGCTAGCGGAACTAAATATCATTGCAATAATGCAATCTCGTTAGAGAACTAATTTGAAGTTACCGATTTAATATTGAAAATATATACAATATATATCGAATTGGAAATTCGCGCTAAACATATCTATCTATCTCGATATTTTTGTAGGAAAAATCCTGCTTCAAATTGATCGAAAAGAATCCGTAATAATTCGTAGCCAATAAATATTTCTGAATCATCTTGCGCGTTTCTCTCGCAATTTATCATCTGTAGAATTTACCATTTGTAGAATACATTATAATTTCCATTTTTATAGAATTTATCATCTGCAGTAAAATTGACTTACTGCTTCTTATTCCAGCCGCGATAGGGCGTTATTATAGAGGGTGAAATCGCAAACTATCACAAGTTTATGATACTTGTCAACGCGCATCCACGTGTGATTTTATTGGTTAGATAAAGGTGGATTTTTTGAATATATAATATTATATGTGTATATATATATCATATTTTTCGATTATGGAAATAATAAAAGGTAATTACCTTCGTAATTAGACGCATACACGGATAATACAATGAACTCTTTGTACATGATATATGCATTGTAGGAGATTGACATCTTTCCAAATGACAAGATAACACGGTGTCTTCATACTTTGTGTCATATATTCTACGAAATAAAAAAAATCAATTTTTGTACGATTTAAAACAATCACGAAAGTATAAGAAGTAGAATAATGGATCTGCATAATCGTTATTTAAGTATCTCGACATTGGACATCTCTGTTTTACGAACTGCAGCAAATGACTGTAAATCTGTGAATGACACATTCGTTTTGCATCATCGTTTCATACAATTTTACAATGATGAGATGACTAGAGAACAGTTGGATATAAATAAACTTGAGATCTGTCGAATGCTATTGTGTCACGAGTATCAATCTGCATTTAACGCCATCGAGAGTTGCGATAATAAGAGATATGTAATACCCACGGATGCAGAGAATATTTGCTTTTCTAATATAGGAGCAATTTTTCCCCCGCATTATCTGCGAAGCATCTCGGAAATTTTAGTCTTACACGACATAATCGCTCTGCAAATGATACTGTATTGTGATACCGAATTAATCAAACAACATTTACAAAATTTTCTCAAATCGAGCGATGCTTATTTCGCAAACAGCAGTAGTAGAATTATGTACATGAAGTTACTGGAATATTTTTTAGAATTTCTATGTTTGTATCAATTCCTTCATAATGATGACAGTAGCATTAAAGAAGAGAAATTAAAAGAACTTAGTTTTATATATTTGAAAGTTATGAAATCATGGATGAAGATAAAAGAAGAGGATTCTGAATGGAGATCGTTTGCTTCAATACTTCCTGTGTTAGCTAAAACTTTTGCTCCTGAATGTATCCTATTTCCACTGTGGGATTATATTTTGAATGAAACAAGCGACTTGAAAGAATCTCTCATTGTTCTGAATATTATGGCAGATACATGTTTTACATCGTCCTGTTCGATGGATCTCACTTATATACATTGTGATATCTATACCAAAAACGCATTTTGGTTCATAATATTAAAGGGACTACGATCACCCTTGCAACAATACCGCAAACAAGCTTTATATTTAATGAGGAAAGCAATCGATTCTCTGAATGGAAATTTTGTACTAAAGTTTGTAGACTCGAAATTCACAAAAGCTCAGATTACTCCATTTATTTGTAGTAAGTCTAATGATAAAACTTCATCGATAGAGTGCATTAAACAGAAATTTTTCTTGGTGTATGAAGCGTTAGAAGAAAAACAATACCACTTAGTAGTACCAGCTTTAACTCATATAACTAGTTTAATAAAAGCAAACAAGGAGCACGAATTCTGCAATGACTGCTTTGATATTGTATGGTTGCAATGCATTCTTGAAAAAGTTTTACATCATGAAAATAATAATATTGTAAAATGGGGAGTATTGCAAATTTGTAAGTTAGATGGGACTACATTTAACGAGGAGTTTTTAGAATTATTTGTTAATGTTTTCAATAATACTTTTCTCTACGAATATCAACCTAATGAGGAATGCCCAGAAATTGTGAAAGCACTCTCGATATTCTTTAAATGCACGGAAGAAAATAATTTACTTAATAATTTTCTTATGGAAGTTAGCAAAGTAGCTTGGGGTCCTGTAGCAATATTTTATATAATACACACATTACGAACAGTTTATAAGGAGATACAACATAATTGGAAAGATAGTGAATTGAATGCCGTTAAATCTTTAGTGGAAACAAACTTGACTATGCACTCTCATATATTACGTACTGCATCTCAAATTGAACTTTTAAGAGCAATCTCCGATTATGTGCAAAAGATAGACGATCCGATATTACTCGCTAATACTTTAGCTGCGTTTCCTTCCGAAGAAGGTCTTAAAAGAGGAACCGCTCCTTGGAACATTGTTACAACATGGTTGAGAAAAATATTAACGAAAGAAGACGCCATAATTTTTGTGGAAGATACTTGCTCGAAATATTCGTACGAAGATATCAGTCCTGAAATAAACCTTAGAACGTTTGCGTTGTTAATATATCTATTACATGACGCGAATCTTATACTATCGAGTAAAACATGTCGCGTCGAAAAAGCATTAAACAATTGGCTGTGTATGTTAAATGGTATTAATATGAGACCTTATGCCGATATCCGCTCGAGTATCGATGCGATAGAATTTATATCGCATTTATTAAATCTCTCCATGACGGAATCTTTCAACAGTGTGACCGACTTGATATTATTATATGTACACACCACTTTTAAATTTCTAATTAAAAATGTGAGAAAAATGGCCACAGAACTAACGTACGAAGATTATACGAGATACATAGCCATTGTGTCTTCGCATATCGTTAACGCAACTTTGTTTATGCCGAAGAAAGATGTAAACAATTATGCGGAAAATCTGCAAAACGAAAGCATACGTTTATTAAGAAATACGCAATATCAAAATATGCAATATTTGTATGGATTACACATTTTGCATCTTTCCCAGAACGTTTTAGTTCTGCCGCTTGCGACAACTTTTTATACGGAATATTTGTTAAACGTGCAACCGATTTCAGTAAATGTTAATAACGACAATGCGGCAAATTTAAGAGGAAAAATTGCATCGGAATATTATTTACTTCTTTCGAAACTCATGCGCCAATATCTTGTAAATTCTCCGATGCATTCGTGGATTTCCACTGCCGCATTACTGTCTAATCTATTAAAATTTCTCGAGTTAGGGGGAACAGAAATCATTTCTGAGATAGCATCGATATTGATCATAATGATTGATAATAAAGTTATAAATCATACGAGTGATAGAGAAACTTTGGAATATATTTTTAAATCATGCTGGAGATGTACTCTCGTTAATAAAAAGAACAACGTGTTCTGGACAGCAATGCAGAACCTTACGGGAATTATTATTAATAATAATTTTTTTATCTTGCCTAATGCTACAAACTTTATAACAGAAGTAAGTTGTTGGAAATCTATAATCCGAAAAACATATATCGGGACTTTTATAATATATCGATTGCTTTTATCATCTATCTTACTTTGCAGTTTGTTGATCAATTAATAGAAGAAGGAGAAAGTACGCCGAAATTTAAGAGGATATTACTTTCTAAAATGAAGCAATTAAATGAATGTAATTTGCTGCAATTAGAAAAACCGTTATTGAGTTGTCTTCTTCATGGCTCTGTACTTCGGCGTGACAAAAGAATTGAAAATTATGCTCATTTATTTATTATCAAGCACTTGGGCCAATATTATCCAAAGCATATCTTGGCATTGTAAGCAAATCCGTTTATCAATATAAATATTTTTAATTTTTTTAATATGATTATCAAAATTAATTTATAAAATAATTTGTTAATCGGTGTTCTTATAATAGAGATCATAATAATGATGCTGCAGTTAGAGCAGAGGCGACTGTACTGTTACATAAGATAATTAATCATCTGGAATTAAATTATGCAGCGGTAATTGTGCCACTTATACTCGAGATATTAGAAAAATACAAAAACAAAAGATACTTTAATGACTCTTATTTACATAAATTAAAACACCGACTAATGCAAATTTTATTGATATTAGAACCGGTTTTGACCGAGGTAAGTGAACCAAGTGCTTATTATCAATTAAATTTTAGCTCTTCATTTCAATTATAGAAGAAATTAATAGATAATTGCTTTATAGGAACTCGTTGCTCTACTACAGGAAAAATTATGTGATTTAATTCTTTCTGAAAGCAACCAACATAGTGTGAGATTGATGCAAGAATGGTTGATGATACAAATCTTTAAGAAACATATTAACTTGCATAATAAGCTATGGAAATTTTTCTCAAAGGTAATCTAAATGAATTTTGTAATCTTATAAAGAGGTTTCTCTTTTAATGTCTATTTGCTCTTATATATTTTTAGAGTATAGTATATATATGTTTTTAGAGTATAGAAGAGCGACCAGGATGTACAATTTCTGTAGCTAGTATTATCTATCATATCGCGCAACTTCTTTCAAATGATACTCAGAAAAATTTTATTCACACAGCTCTACCATACATAGCACAATGTTGTTTGGGTCAGCAATTTAATGTGCGTCTTTATAACCAGGCAAGTAAAAAATTAATTGTTATGTAATGCTTGTATCTGTATGTATATTTTGATTTCATTCATTTCAATTTTTTCAATGTAGTTTATTTTTACACAATTATACGAATTAATGAAAAAAGCAAATGATGATGATAGTATATCAAAATACAAAGGCATTTATCAGGCAGCTGTGGCTAATTTACAACAAAGCAGTTTGACAAAGAATTCGACTAAAATACAGGATGATTTTTACTTTTCAAGTTTTCATCCGATCAATGATTACAGTTTGCAGGTATATACTATACATTCGCTTAAAAAAAAAAAAAGAGGTTATTTTATAAGTCAATGACATTTAACATATTAATTTTTATGATCTTTATAGACAATTTACTATGAATTACCACGGTTGACTAATATAAGTTCTGATGAATGGATCAGTCCAGACATATTCAAAGCCTTCATGTTTGAACATAATGATAATCATTCTCTACAACTTTATAACATTGATTTATTTCTGTCTGAGACTAAAACTTCTATATATCTCACAAAATCTCTTGCAGGTAAATTTAAAAAATGAAATAAAGTAAAAATATATAATTTATAAAATATATATAAAATAATTGTATTATAGGTGATACCGAATCATTAGCCAACAGTGTTGAAACCTATTTGGAAGGTTTGCATGATATTCAGAAAAAGATTGATCCATCCAAGTCTATAACTCCATTGTACAGTGATATTTTTGAATCAATGAAAGAATCCATACATCAACAAGACTTACAGTTACATGAAGAAGGTCTGATAGTTGTAGCATCTTTTATCAGTCGACCACCAAATTTGGGTGGAATTGCTAGGACATGTGAAATATTTGGAGTCAAGACATTAGTTATTGCAAATTTGGATTGTATAAAGGATAAAGAGTTTCAATGCCTTAGTGTATCAGCCGAAAAATGGATAAATATGCTACAGGTATTTAAACAGCTTGAAATTCTGCAAATTGCTTTAAATTCATATTTTTAAAAATTGGAGACCATAATTTTCCATAGTTTTGCAATACAATTCCTTTTTTTAAATATATCAAAAATAGCTTGAAAAATTTCGTTTATGAAATTTTTATCAGCTTTACATGAATGTTTCTAAAAAATATATTGTTTTAAAATTTTTAGGTGAAACCGCAAGAGTTACAGAAGTACTTGTTCGAGAAGAAAAACGCGGGATGGTCTCTAATCGGTGTTGAACAAACAGCCAATAGTATAAATCTGCTACAGACAAAATTCGAGAGAAAGACTATTCTCGTTTTAGGGTAATTAAATCTTGACTTGCAATGCATTATACTTTGTATAACCAATATAATTAGGAATATACATTTTATAGGAACGAGAAGGATGGTATACCTGCCAATTTCATACCTCTTTTCGACATGTGTGTAGAAATACCTCAAGTAGGTGTGATACGATCATTAAATGTTCATGTTACTGCTGCAATTTGTATATGGCAGTATGCAAGCCAACACACATTAAAACAATAAATCTCCCAAGTTTGAAGGTGCAAGATAATAATATGAGATAAACAAATTTTTAGGAAAAAAAATCTTTACCATAACACGATCGTAACGCTTATTTAAAAAGAAAGTATACGCGATTTATATTTTTGTATATTTATGAACAAGTCTAATTGATACAGAATTATCTATATAGAGATTAAATATATGGCATACTTATACTTCGTATCCAACAAAATGTCGTTTTCCAATACACTCTCCAACAAAGAACCAACAATATATTTCGGCAGCCACCAAGGTGTTTATGACAGCCTCACGTACGGTGACTTCACGATAGCGACCCGTCTTCGCAGACTGAATCAACTTCGAAAAGCCACTTCGAATCGCAGGAATGTCCTTTAATGAAGGTGGCGTTAATTCTACTCTGGCATATTGCTGCCATACATGCAGCACAGGCCTTGCATGAGTCACACCAACTGCAATTGATACAAATACAATTTTATTTAATTTCTAATTAAAAATGAAAATTGTATACCCATGTGTGTAGCAAATAAATATTTGATTAAAATTTTTTACTATTAATTTAGGACATTATTATATAATTAACAGATATTCTAAATTAATTTTCTCAATCGGCCTTCCAAGATTCAATATTTCATGTTTCACAGACGGTTTTATCAAAGGCAAGTTTTGATACTTGTCTATAGTTATACTATATAAAGGTCAATATAACCTCCACAGAGTATAAAATTTAAATTATCAGAAAGAGTACGAGAACTCATAGGCACGAAATATTTGACAAAAATACCAACAAATTTTTGTTTTTAGAAATTTTTTTATGCATATAATTATGTCATGAAAAAGAATTAGTAAACATTATATAATAATCTGTATGTAATATTTTTAGAGTATAGTATATATATGTTTTTAGAGTATAGAAGAGCGACCAGGATGTACAATTTCTGTAGCTAGTATTATCTATCATATCGCGCAACTTCTTTCAAATGATACTCAGAAAAATTTTATTCACACAGCTCTACCATACATAGCACAATGTTGTTTGGGTCAGCAATTTAATGTGCGTCTTTATAACCAGGCAAGTAAAAAATTAATTGTTATGTAATGCTTGTATCTGTATGTATATTTTGATTTCATTCATTTCAATTTTTTCAATGTAGTTTATTTTTACACAATTATACGAATTAATGAAAAAAGCAAATGATGATGATAGTATATCAAAATACAAAGGCATTTATCAGGCAGCTGTGGCTAATTTACAACAAAGCAGTTTGACAAAGAATTCGACTAAAATACAGGATGATTTTTACTTTTCAAGTTTTCATCCGATCAATGATTACAGTTTGCAGGTATATACTATACATTCGCTTAAAAAAAAAAGAGGTTATTTTATAAGTCAATGACATTTAACATATTAATTTTTATGATCTTTATAGACAATTTACTATGAATTACCACGGTTGACTAATATAAGTTCTGATGAATGGATCAGTCCAGACATATTCAAAGCCTTCATGTTTGAACATAATGATAATCATTCTCTACAACTTTATAACATTGATTTATTTCTGTCTGAGACTAAAACTTCTATATATCTCACAAAATCTCTTGCAGGTAAATTTAAAAAATGAAATAAAGTAAAAATATATAATTTATAAAATATATAGGGAAACACCCAATAGAATACTTAAAAAAAATTGCTCATACGTTTTACCAATTCGGTGGTTTTTGTAACAAGACTTGCCATCGCCTCTGCCTGTTCTATCAACTTTTCAGGAAGGAAGGAGAGGCTGCAAAAATGGACCTTTCTCGTCAGAGTTGTCGATAGCAGCAAGAACTTCCTCACATATCACATATCACGATATAATCACAATGAACTATACATTTGCCTTCTCCGTCTACAATATAAAGAGAATAATAAGTTAGAGAGAGATACTGAATCACTAAACGGAGTTGGTTAATGCATGGGTCAAAAAATACAAGATTGTTAAGTGTAATTTAAAATATTGCAAGAAGTTGACCAATGATCCGATGAATGACGATTGTAAACGATAGTTAAAGAGCAGGGTTCTATAAAATCTTTGGACACCATGTTGGCAACATTGTAAAAAGTGTTTTGTGTTCAAACCGGTGATCGCAGGACGCTCGACAAAATTGTGGGGAAAACAGAGTAAAATCAAGTCAAACGTCAAGTCGCAACTTCTTACATAGGTTACTTAGTGATATTTTTTATTTATATCTGTGCTCTTTTTAAATAATGCTTATTAAATTTATTGTACATACACTCTACTCAGCAAAATAATTAAAAGCACGATAATTCTGCTTGTAATCTATCTGAGAAACTAGCTAATCCAAAGTAATTTTCAAAAACACAAATATATTAATATCGTGCAAATTTATCTATTTTTCACTACCTCTTACATACCAATACATATTAATTATACAAATAATGATTACATATATATATAATGTCACATATATTGTTAATAATCTTAACGATTTTTCTGTTCATACCAGGTTATGTTACGTTTGTAGGATATCGAGTATGATTATTTTATTACAGTTTTACGAACTAATTTTTCTAAGAGAGATGTATTTAAGGTTGCTTATACATTTTTTTTTTTTTTTAAGGAGCAAGAAAAGATGGCACAGAGATTTCCTGTACCAAATACAGGTAGTAATGGACCGCCTCCTCAACGATATCCACCATCATCAGTACCACCAAACTTGCGCCAGTACTCTGGGCCAAATTTTCCAGTAAGCATATCTTTTAACTCTGATATAATGAATAGTATATAAAAAGGGCTACATAATTAACTTATACACTATATAATTTATGAATGTAATAAAGTTAATTAGTTACAATGTTTAATGATTATAATCTTGTAAGAATATATATATTGCATGAAATGCCAGCACATGCAAATTATTTTTGTCGTAGATGCAGCAGAGATCTGGATTTACTCCACCGCCACAAATGGGTAATGCAGGACCTGGTCCTGGAGGGATAATGAGACCAAGCCAGCCTTACACAAATATGCGTCAAGGTCCAATGCCCACACCACCTGTTGGAAAAAGAACTGCAGATCAACGTATTCCTATGTCACAACAAAAACCGTAAGTCAAGAGAACAGTTATTAAAAGAAATTTACAAAAAAATTTGCTTTTTCTATTTATCTCTATCTTGCAATGTATTCATGTAAATTTTGTATTTCTATATTAATCGGAGCATATTTTAACAATTAAATGCTTTTCTTTTTTATTTGCTTTTTCTTTTCGCATGTTATAACTTCTTTTTATTCTTTTTATGTATAAAAAATTAAAAACATTGCTTTTTATATTTATAATATTTATAATAAAATTCTAATAATGTCTTATTTCAACTAAGTTTTATCAGGAATGACCCAACTGCAATGCAAGGCTTACAAAATTATTTATAATTTCTGTATCTATGATTTTCGAATAAACTCATTTAGGTGTTTTTGGAACAGTGATTTTTCACATTCCACATCAAAGAAAAAGAAGAAATTGGCAGACAAAATATTGCGTCAGAAAGTACGTGATTTGGTGCCAGAGTCGCAAGCATATATGGATTTACTCGCGTTTGAGAGAAAATTGGATGCAACTATAATGCGGAAACGTCTCGATATTCAAGAGGCTTTGAAACGACCAATGAAGCAGAAACGAAAACTGCGCATTTTTATTTCAAATACGTTTTATCCTGCTAAAGAGGCGGGTGAAGGAGAAGAAGGATCCGTAGCATCCTGGGAACTTAGAGTTGAAGGACGTCTTTTAGATGATACTAAAAATGATCCTAATAAGGTATATAATGTATTATAAAACAACCATAATACTGATATTTTAATAGCTCGCCCTTCTTTTCCGTTATATATCATCTAATATATTTAAGTATATGTTATTAATTATACAATGATAACTTTTTGCAACTTTTCCAGGTTAAACGCAAATTTTCATCTTTCTTCAAAAGTTTAGTGATAGAATTAGATAAAGATCTATATGGTCCTGACAATCATTTAGTCGAGTGGCATCGTACGTTAACTACCCAAGAAACTGACGGATTTCAAGTTAAAAGACCCGGTGATAAGAATGTTCGTTGCACAATTCTTCTTCTTCTCGATTATCAGCCATTGCAGGTATTCTCTTTTTACATAAGATTAAACATTATCACAGTTATATAACTCAATTCCATTATTAATTCTAAACTGTGTATTCTAATTGTGTATTCCAGTTTAAATTGGACCCAAGATTAGCGCGACTATTAGGCGTACACACGCAAACACGACCTGTAATTATATCCGCGCTCTGGCAATATATAAAAACGCACAAGCTACAAGACAGTCACGAGAGAGAATTTATTAATTGCGATAAATATCTGGAACAGATATTTGCCTGCCCGCGAATGAAATTTGCCGAAATACCACAACGACTGAATCCATTATTGCATCCGCCCGATCCTATTGTAATAAATCATGTCATAAGCGTAGAAGGTAAATAAAATATTTTTACATCTAATCTGAACGTTATTACAATAGAAATGAATTCGCAAATTAGTAAGTGTCTATATTGTAGCTATATCACAAATTAAAATTGATTATAAGTATTTGATGTGGATGATATTTATATTTTTCAGGCACAGAAACAAAGCAGACTGCATGTTATGATATTGATGTGGAGGTTGACGATACTCTAAAGACGCAAATGAATAACTTTTTATTGTCAACCGCAAGTCAACAAGAAATTCAGAGTCTGGATAACAAAATTCATGAAACCGTCGAGACAATTAATCAATTGAAAACCAATCGCGAATTCTTTTTGAGTTTTGCCAAAGATCCACAACAATTTATCAACAAGTGGATCATCTCCCAAACTAGAGATTTAAAAACCATGACAGATGTTGTTGGCAATCCAGAAGAAGAACGAAGAGCTGAATTTTATTATCAACCATGGGCACAGGAAGCTGTGTGTCGATACTTTTACACAAAAGTACAGCAAAAACGGGCAGAATTAGAGCAAGCACTGGGTATCAGAAACTCTTAAAACTATCGAAACTATATATTCGATTATTTTATCACATAAAATTATACAAGATATTCGTAAGTGTTTGCCATGTAACTATTGCAACATTCAGTACTATTATAACTAAAAATTTTTAAACATATATTTGTAATATTAAAATATAGATTATACAAATAAAATTACATTTATTACACGAAACAAATAAATTTTATGCTTGTATGAAAATAAAGATATAACAAATAATTATTTTCTTTTATGTATTATTTTCTTTTACGTACCAGTTATATCACAAATCTCGATCTAATATTTTGCGAAAGATGAACTTTGAACTCTGATGAAAGAACATGTAATTAGCAAACAACTGCAGTACTTTAGGCAATATTCCTTTTTGAGATCTCTTTATATCATAATATTAATATTATCTCATGATAGTTTCGACAGTTCATTTTTATCTTTGCAGCATCAACATATATGAAATAATTAGATTAGAAGCTCAGTCTTCACGATAATTTATTTCTTCTTATCGAAATGCAGTATTTTTTATATAAATAAGGACAATTATATATATATATATATATACACATATATATGTATCATTTTCCATACCGTTGTACGAATTTATTATATCTCTCTAGTAAATACGTGAACTCTTTCACTGAGATACTAACATACAGCGGCAACATTCTGAAAAAGAAAAATTTAATGGTTAGTTTAAGAAAAAAATAAAAAATTTGGACTTTGAAAATATTTGGAAGATTTTTTATACGATGATAACTTATAATCTTACAAAAATTCTGTTGTTCTCGTGTGCCATGGTAGAAGACCATGCGTGGAACAAGTGTAACCATATATTAAAGCGAGATCAGGATTAGGCATCCCTTTCATATCTAACTTCTCAGAGATTAGTTGATCCGTAATGTCTTCTGGATCAAGATTTCCCGAAGATACGGCTTTTGTCAATGATTGTACTAATGTTACTATTTTCCCTTTACCATCTATATCAGATAGTAATAATACATTTATTTTCGATCTGTTGCCTGTAATTAGAACATAAGAAAGTAGTTAGTAATGATTTCCTTAAAAAAAAAAAAAAAAAAAAAAAAAAAAAAGATCATTATTTACTTTATGGTCTTAATGACATAGAAGTTTGTGGAACTTAATAATTTACAGTTCCAGAGAGAAATATATCATACTTGTTTAAATATTATATTTCATCCATGCATATGATTATATAACATAATATATAGTGTACAGTTTCTGATACCAGCATGCAACTGTGCACATGATTTAAGAACTGCAGATATAATCATTGTAGTCATTATTTATTTTGCAATAATGAATCAATTTGTGTTTCAAACTTTACTCCTCAATTAAAGATAAGCAATCAATTGACAAATAAAACTAATAAAATAAAAAGATTGGTTGCCTATCTTTGGCTAAAGAGGAATATAATAGGAGAATATAAAAAAGAATATATTGTAAATATTTTACACAGCATGTGCATAACAATTGTATTAGCTTTATTATTATTACTTGTATTTGTTCTAAAAAAAATCAAAACCAAGAGTTACTATTTTAAGTTTCTTAGAAATAATTAGAGAATCATCAATATATAAACAAGCATAAATAAATAGACAAAAACTGTATATTATACCAGTTATTCCATTTTGACTAGGTGGTTTTGTATGTGAATTCCAAATAATATGATCTATTAGATCAGGCCGCTTTTTCGCAAATTCTTCTTTAAGATTTGCTTCATTTTTCTTCAAGAAACCTGAAAAATAATATAAATTGCATAAATTTAAATTTATATAGGAATTATTCAGTCTTAAATAAACAAAACTTATGGTTTCTCATAAAAAATAATTAATACTCATGTATATTAAAATTTGCTTAGTTATTTCATGTAAATTGATTTTTTTATCTATAATTAAACAGTTACATTTGCATAAATTATATTTCTCATTAAAATATATTTAAACTTTATTTATATTCTTTACAATTTAACATTACACATCCACCTTTTGTATTTTTATATAGTATATTCTAATTTTATATTGTGATAACTTTACTTAATTTTTTGCATGAAAGTATAACAAATACATGTTTTAGAGATAAGCTCAACATATATTAAAAATATATGGCTCATATATAATATATCGTATAATATGAAATTATATAATAGAATATAAATTTTTAAATATATTTAAAGATTATTGCAATATATATATGTACTAAGGTATACTTTAATACTTTATAAAGTACTTGCAAATATATATTTTTATGTGCATTAGAAAGTTTCATGCATAAGGAAATTCAGTGTCACAGTCCATATATATTATACGAATGACTTAACAAAAACATTTATCATATGTACATTGTTATCAATAATTATACTTTTTTTTATCAACTGCATAAAAAAGAAAAAACAATAGTTAATATTAAAAACAGCAATCTAAAAATTTAAAAACTTATTCAACGAAAATAGATTAATATGTATGATGCAATAAAAAGCAATAATCCAGTAAGGAAATTAATTTCTATGATAATTTAACTACTTATTAATATAGCAATAAATTGATTGGCGCACTGAAAAATAATAGATGTACAGTATGTATGAAATATAAATGTATGAAATAAAATTACTAAGAACAAGTACAATATTATATAACTCACATCAGATAACTAAACTGTACTTTTTTTTGCAAAATGCAATATTTTGTTACATCTAATAAAATTCTGTTTTCTTGACTGATTATAATTGATTATAATCTCATTAATTTATATTATAAAAATATATTTATAGAAATATTGTTATAAATAATATAATAAGAGAATCACATTTTCTATAACTTTACAGTTGCACACACAATCAAGTTCCATAGAGCTTGTAATAATAAAATGTATGAGACAATGCAATTCAATACAAAACTCGCAACACAATAGGTACTTTAACAATTCCAAGATATTGCATTCAATGGCAAAAACCTTCAGAGTATGCTAATGTTTAATGATTGTTTTGAGATTATAACGTTCATCGTATGGGACAAATACATCGACCTTCGACACAAGCGCAAACATACACATATACATAGAATATAAGAGATAATCTTTTTTTCGCGACAATTTTCACATACAGAGAAATATATATAAATTGATACCAAATCGTTTCTTTACCATTACGGTCAAAGAAGCTGATGTAAGGTATATTAAGTGTAATGCACCATCCAATTATACGCACACAGTCTAGGACCGACTCGTCGCACAGTCCTAGCACGATCACCAAGTGCCTGGGTATCTTGGTTTTCGCGCGCATACGCAGGAGCACGTCGAGCTCCGTTGTCGCGCACCAGAGATCCGTACACTTGCGGTAAGCCGCGATAAAGGCGTAGCGAACAGCAACATACACATTACATAGAAAATGCGCGAGGTTTAACAGCGTATGTAGTAGCTTGTGCATACTGTCGGCGCGCGATCGCGCGTTTATACAGCATAATCACGTATGAGAACGCGAGTGAAACGGCTCCTTTTTTAAACTGCCCGGTATGTCACGAGACGACTCGTGCACACTTCTTGCCCACCATCGATACGTGCACAGTAGTCCGTAGACGAGAACCGCGTAAAGTATGTACATATACCTCCCGGACACCTCCCAATACTTCCTCACGTGTACACCGCACACGCGATGGGGTTATGTCTCAGCTTATGGCGCATGCCTGGCCGCCATCGTGGCGGCTCGCGGCGATCGAAGCGCCGCCACTGACATTTATCGGCGAAGCGATACAACTACTCTCGAGATACCGAGCTGACGTCAGTATAGAAACTTACGCTATGGGTGCGTTCCGTTTCACGCATTGAGTGCATAGATCGCATGGAAATCTATAATATATGTTACGTGAACTATAGATTTCCAGGCGATCTATGCGTGAAACGGAACGCACCCTATATAAGCGCAGTGACATTGGACATGAGAAATAATGGGCGCGTTCAGCAGAGAAAACCGCTCAGTAGCAATCGAATGTGATTGGCTCTTACTTTTAGAACCAACAAATCAACGTCGAGTGTTGACAAGACAATGGCCGCGTTCAGCAGAGAAAGCGCTCAGTTATCGTCTTGTCAACACTCGACGTTGATTCGTTGGTTCTAAAAGTAAGAACCAATCACATTCGATTGCTACTAAGCGGTTTTCTCTGCTGAACGCGGCCAATAGCTATCGACAGTTACATTTTATCAACACGCGCAGCCTCTGGGGCAGAGAAAGCGCTCAGTTATCGTCTTGTCAACACTCGACGTTGATTCGTTGGTTCTAAAAGTAAGAACCAATCACATTCGATTGCTACTAAGCGGTTTTCTCTGCTGACGCGGCCATTAAACTGAGCGCTTTCTCTGCTGAACGCGCCTAATGACGAGAGATATGTTCATATGCGATAATTATAAATATAAGAAAGAATAGATATTTTTAGTAAAGATCACAAATATTTGTTTAAGCGAAATAAAAGGAAGCGTAATATTACGTTGTCCCGATAGGCACGAAATCTTCCAAAAGAAAAAGAAAGAAGAAAAACTAATTGTAAATATGTTTATGTTTATATGATAGAATCCCGCTATATCCAGCTATATCCCGCTATTGCTGGAGTTCCCGCTATTTTAGAATCTACAATAGATTAACTGTCAACTGAAATTTACGCATTTACCACAATGACAGTGCATAGCATTAGAGTGAGAAAGCTAGTGAAAGACGGACTTGGCGCGTGGCAAATATTTTTCATGATTTCGCGCATGTGTCATTAAATTAGAATGAGAAATTCCAGATTCTAAAGGGGGAGATTTTAGAATGGCGGGGGGAAAAGAGAACTCAATCTAGTTGTGGAATAGCGTGGTTCTCTAATATAAAATAAACAGTTGCAAATAATCCCACATTGTATGTCATTTTGCTGGTGCATATTATGACAAACAAGTAATTATTGTACTCCCATAAAACTTTTTTTTTCTAGTTCTTATAAAAAAAAAAAAAAATCGTTTTCTTCGGATAATATATACATCTTTAGAAACACATCGAGATAGGTGGATTCTTTAATTGGATTTGTCAATCTTAACTGAATGTAAGTTTATAAAGTCGTTTCTTAAACAACATAATTGGGTTATATTTAATTTAGGTTAGTTTGATAAACGTATGTTGTTAAACAATATTAAATTTATCTTACTAGAACATAGTTGTGTAATTTTATAAAAGCTGTACTAAATGAAATCTATCAATTTTTACTTTTATCAAAGCTAGATAACAAATCTTTGGAAAAATGATTCTTATATATACAAAACTTAACTTAGTGGAAAGTATACAAGTTATACATAAAACTTTTCTTATATATTCTAGGACAATGGTAACAGGACCTACTGAACATGGAATACAAGCTGATGTTATATTTGTCATTGAAGGAACAGCTGTTAATGGCGCGTACCTCAATGATCTTAAAACTAATTATCTTATTCCTACATTAGAGTAAGTGTATTATATTGTAAATATAATATATGTTTTATTTGTTTAATGTGTGTATAAATGTAAAAATATCGCAATTGTTAATTTTATATTACATATATAGTGTAAAGAGATATCTTTTTATTAATTTATTCTCATATTTCTATGCACAGATATTTTAGTCAAGGTGGCATAGAAGATAGAGAATATGTCTCTGAGGTACAGTATAATTATATTTCGAATATTATTTTTAAATTAAGTTATGATTCATCTTAACAATTGATATTTGTATAACAGAATAGTACAACATTGTATGGAATAGTTGTTTATCATGCCGCTGATTGCTTACCATCACCTTGTACAGAGACTTTTGGACCTTATTCAAATCCTCAGAGGTTATTGGTGGTCTTGGATAAACTCGAGTGAGTACAGAACACATAATTAACCTTTTGCAATAAAATTGCATGCAAAATTAGGAAGAATACATTATATATCATATTCTTCAAATTAGATTTTCTATTGATTTTCTATTGATTAATATACTTTAATAATTAATAACATTCTATTTTCTAGAATGGTTGGTGGAAAAGGAGAATCTTATGCAAACATAGGTGAAGGCCTTGCAACGGGATTACAATGTTTTGAAGATTTGCAACTAAGACGAGAGCCAAACACTGCATCACAAAAACATTGTATCTTGATATGTAATTCACCTCCATATCAAACTATGATTCAAGAATCTTACAAGTTTGCAGGTCATACTGTTGAACAATTAGCTGCTATCTATCAAGAGGTGAGAAATATAAGAATTACATCAAGCGTAAGTGTAATATGCTTAAAGAGTGCATCTTATATATATTTGCATTTATGTGTATAATTTTTCAGAGAAATATTAACATATCTATATTATCACCGAGGAAGATTCCCGCATTATACAAGTTATTTGAAAAGGCTGGAGGTGATTTACAATCATCGCAAACGAAAAATTATGCCAAAGATCCGCGGCATTTGGTGCTGTTGCGAAATTACAACTTAAAGGAAAGACCCGTTAGTCCGCAAATGGGCGGTAATGTCCACAATACAACTAACGTGACACAAATCCCTCTAAGCCCATTGCAAAGTAATGACAGTCCGAACACTAATCAAGTACAGCAGAATATCGCTCCGCCGAATCAGCAGCAAACTCCCTTCAGGAATCAAACGCCTCAGAATATTACGGTCCATCAGACCGTACCGTCGAGTATGGCGGCGCCAATGAACGCACGGCCGTCTTATAACCCGCAGATAGCTGCGCCACCGAATTATCATCCGCCGGGAGTGAACATAGGACCCACGAGAGCCAGATGGATGCGACCACCATTCATAGCGCCAGGGGCTACCGGGCCTGCAAATACGCAAGGCAGCGCGCTAATAGCGCAATTAACGCAGCCACCTTCGTCGTTAGGGCTTAATGTAGCCGCATTTGGTCAAAGATTAGATGGTAAGAGCGCATTGACAATGACATCTTACCTTTTATTTTCCCATAATAATTCGAGCTGTATAATATTTATTTTAGTAGCTGGCAATAATGTTATGGCTAATCAACAACAGCAGCAACAGCAGCAACAGCAGCAGCAGCAGCAGCAGCAACTCACACAGCAACAACAACAACTGCGATTGACGATGCAGTTACAGCAGCAAAATGCTCAACAAGCCACCATGTCCATGGCCCAACCGACTCACAGCCAACCGGGATCGCAACTCACTGTGTCTTGCATTAGCCAATCAGTGCCCACTCAAGTGTCACAGACTGTGACAGCTTCGCAACAGGCACCAGTCTCAGTGTCTTCCATTACGCAACAAATTACTCATTCTCAAACACAAGTATAACGATATAGCATTAGTATTATATTTAATTATAGGATGTTTCACATTTTAATCTATAAATGCTTACCTTATATACAAGATCTGCATCTGTTAAAAATGTGCTTAATTTAATACATATATCAGTTTCATTGTGATCTTATAGGGCACTGTGTCTACTGGTACTGTACAAGGTCAACAACTCGTACCACGCGAACGTCAAAACATCTGGCAAGGCATCGTGGAATGGATCGAAAAGGCCAAAAATCCTACGGATGCGCAAAAGCAAACGAGACATGTTCCATGTCAAGTCTCAGCTAATGCAAAGGATGGAGAACCAGAATTGTAAATTATTGTTTCTCGCTATCTTAATGGAGATAGTGTTTTTTTTTTTTTATTCTTACTTTGCACAATCTTTATCTTTCAGGAAAGCTGATACATGGCCGCCAAAATTGATAATGCAATTGATGCCGAAACAATTGATAGGAAATATTGGTGGTTCTTATTTAAAGAATTCTAAATCCGTTCTTTTCCATCCGACGCCATGTGAAGCATTGGAATCTTTGACGAAAATGATGAGCGCTGGATTTGTAAGTATATTCATTATATATATAATACGATATATTCTTACCTTTAAAAAAAAATAATTTTAAAATTCGGGATACCTTTCCAGGCAGGTTGTGTCCACTTCACCTCCGCTCCGTCGAGCCCGGCTTGTGAAATAAAAGTACTTATACTTTTGTACACTGCAGAGAAAAAAACATATTTAGGTTTTATCCCGAACGATCAAACGGCTTTTGTAGACCGTCTTCGCAAAGTGATACAACAACAGAAAAAAATCGTTTTCTTCGGATAATATATACATCTTTAGAAACACATCGAGATAGGTGGATTCTTTAATTGGATTTGTCAATCTTAACTGAATGTAAGTTTATAAAGTCGTTTCTTAAACAACATAATTGGGTTATATTTAATTTAGGTTAGTTTGATAAACGTATGTTGTTAAACAATATTAAATTTATCTTACTAGAACATAGTTGTGTAATTTTATAAAAGCTGTACTAAATGAAATCTATCAATTTTTACTTTTATCAAAGCTAGATAACAAATCTTTGGAAAAATGATTCTTATATATACAAAACTTAACTTAGTGGAAAGTATACAAGTTATACATAAAACTTTTCTTATATATTCTAGGACAATGGTAACAGGACCTACTGAACATGGAATACAAGCTGATGTTATATTTGTCATTGAAGGAACAGCTGTTAATGGCGCGTACCTCAATGATCTTAAAACTAATTATCTTATTCCTACATTAGAGTAAGTGTATTATATTGTAAATATAATATATGTTTTATTTGTTTAATGTGTGTATAAATGTAAAAATATCGCAATTGTTAATTTTATATTACATATATAGTGTAAAGAGATATCTTTTTATTAATTTATTCTCATATTTCTATGCACAGATATTTTAGTCAAGGTGGCATAGAAGATAGAGAATATGTCTCTGAGGTACAGTATAATTATATTTCGAATATTATTTTTAAATTAAGTTATGATTCATCTTAACAATTGATATTTGTATAACAGAATAGTACAACATTGTATGGAATAGTTGTTTATCATGCCGCTGATTGCTTACCATCACCTTGTACAGAGACTTTTGGACCTTATTCAAATCCTCAGAGGTTATTGGTGGTCTTGGATAAACTCGAGTGAGTACAGAACACATAATTAACCTTTTGCAATAAAATTGCATGCAAAATTAGGAAGAATACATTATATATCATATTCTTCAAATTAGATTTTCTATTGATTTTCTATTGATTAATATACTTTAATAATTAATAACATTCTATTTTCTAGAATGGTTGGTGGAAAAGGAGAATCTTATGCAAACATAGGTGAAGGCCTTGCAACGGGATTACAATGTTTTGAAGATTTGCAACTAAGACGAGAGCCAAACACTGCATCACAAAAACATTGTATCTTGATATGTAATTCACCTCCATATCAAACTATGATTCAAGAATCTTACAAGTTTGCAGGTCATACTGTTGAACAATTAGCTGCTATCTATCAAGAGGTGAGAAATATAAGAATTACATCAAGCGTAAGTGTAATATGCTTAAAGAGTGCATCTTATATATATTTGCATTTATGTGTATAATTTTTCAGAGAAATATTAACATATCTATATTATCACCGAGGAAGATTCCCGCATTATACAAGTTATTTGAAAAGGCTGGAGGTGATTTACAATCATCGCAAACGAAAAATTATGCCAAAGATCCGCGGCATTTGGTGCTGTTGCGAAATTACAACTTAAAGGAAAGACCCGTTAGTCCGCAAATGGGCGGTAATGTCCACAATACAACTAACGTGACACAAATCCCTCTAAGCCCATTGCAAAGTAATGACAGTCCGAACACTAATCAAGTACAGCAGAATATCGCTCCGCCGAATCAGCAGCAAACTCCCTTCAGGAATCAAACGCCTCAGAATATTACGGTCCATCAGACCGTACCGTCGAGTATGGCGGCGCCAATGAACGCACGGCCGTCTTATAACCCGCAGATAGCTGCGCCACCGAATTATCATCCGCCGGGAGTGAACATAGGACCCACGAGAGCCAGATGGATGCGACCACCATTCATAGCGCCAGGGGCTACCGGGCCTGCAAATACGCAAGGCAGCGCGCTAATAGCGCAATTAACGCAGCCACCTTCGTCGTTAGGGCTTAATGTAGCCGCATTTGGTCAAAGATTAGATGGTAAGAGCGCATTGACAATGACATCTTACCTTTTATTTTCCCATAATAATTCGAGCTGTATAATATTTATTTTAGTAGCTGGCAATAATGTTATGGCTAATCAACAACAGCAGCAACAGCAGCAACAGCAGCAGCAGCAGCAGCAGCAACTCACACAGCAACAACAACAACTGCGATTGACGATGCAGTTACAGCAGCAAAATGCTCAACAAGCCACCATGTCCATGGCCCAACCGACTCACAGCCAACCGGGATCGCAACTCACTGTGTCTTGCATTAGCCAATCAGTGCCCACTCAAGTGTCACAGACTGTGACAGCTTCGCAACAGGCACCAGTCTCAGTGTCTTCCATTACGCAACAAATTACTCATTCTCAAACACAAGTATAACGATATAGCATTAGTATTATATTTAATTATAGGATGTTTCACATTTTAATCTATAAATGCTTACCTTATATACAAGATCTGCATCTGTTAAAAATGTGCTTAATTTAATACATATATCAGTTTCATTGTGATCTTATAGGGCACTGTGTCTACTGGTACTGTACAAGGTCAACAACTCGTACCACGCGAACGTCAAAACATCTGGCAAGGCATCGTGGAATGGATCGAAAAGGCCAAAAATCCTACGGATGCGCAAAAGCAAACGAGACATGTTCCATGTCAAGTCTCAGCTAATGCAAAGGATGGAGAACCAGAATTGTAAATTATTGTTTCTCGCTATCTTAATGGAGATAGGGTTTTTTTTTTTTATTCTTACTTTGCACAATCTTTATCTTTCAGGAAAGCTGATACATGGCCGCCAAAATTGATAATGCAATTGATGCCGAAACAATTGATAGGAAATATTGGTGGTTCTTATTTAAAGAATTCTAAATCCGTTCTTTTCCATCCGACGCCATGTGAAGCATTGGAATCTTTGACGAAAATGATGAGCGCTGGATTTGTAAGTATATTCATTATATATATAATACGATATATTCTTACCTTTAAAAAAAAATAATTTTAAAATTCGGGATACCTTTCCAGGCAGGTTGTGTCCACTTCACCTCCGCTCCGTCGAGCCCGGCTTGTGAAATAAAAGTACTTATACTTTTGTACACTGCAGAGAAAAAAACATATTTAGGTTTTATCCCGAACGATCAAACGGCTTTTGTAGACCGTCTTCGCAAAGTGATACAACAACAGAAAACGTCTCACGCTTCTATGAGACAAGGACAAGTGAGTATAATGAAAAGTGCGAATTGATTTTACATATGAATTAACAAAACGAAAAATATTGAAGAGTATTTGTACGATTTCATTAGGCTAATCCTGGACAGGGAAATACGATTCCTGCACCCATGCCTACCACAGGTACACAAGGTGGTATTCTTATGTCCCAAACGAATACTATGGCAATGGGCGGTGGCCAAATAACGCAGAACGTTGTGTCTAGTAACGCTCCTCCGCAAACCTTAACTTCAACCAGTGGTCCACAAACTCAAATGAATATGCAGGTAACGCTAGTATGTTTTTCTAAGAAACAGAATGATTTATCAATAGACATTCATTAAAATATTCATTATATATTTATAGAATAGCGGGATAAGTGGTCCACAAGCAAATACTGGTGCTGGTGGTATGATAGGACAACAACGACCTCCATTTGATGATATAGAGATGGCTAGGCATCAAAATTTATTGAAAATTCAACATCTAAGACAAACGTTAGAGGCTGCACAACAGCAAGAAGCGCAGTATAAATCTCAATTAGAAGTAAATGTAAGTATAGAGTTTTAAAAAAATAGAAACAGCTTTTTAAAAGTTTTGAAAACTATCTCATGGTTATGTACATATATATCATAATTGTGTAGATTCAACAAAATCTAGAAGTGGCCCAACAACAAGAAATGCAATATAAACAACAACTTGAGGTAAGTTATTTTTGACTACCTCATCTAAAGATATACATATTTTTAGTAAAAAATACATATATGTGATAATATAAAAATAATTATTATTACAGGCACAACAGGCACAGAGAGGCCTGAATCAAGCAGCTATGTCCAACCAACAGGCAAACGCTCAAAGATTGATGCGTCCTGTCTCCACTAACAATCTTGGTCTTAGACATTTATTACAACAGGTGAGAATCCCTGATGAAAGTTTCCTAAAAAAACTAAATTTTATTTACTTTAGTTCTTATATCAAAAATGTGCTTATTTTTTTAATATCTTTTACAGTATATATTATATATAATAATTAATGTTTTGCAGCCACAACCTCAGTACAGGCAAGTGTTTGGAGTGCAACAACAAATGGTAGGTCCAAGGGGACAAATAGCGGCAAGACCAATGGCACCTGGTAATACACAAAATCAGCAGTTTGAGGATGTACCGAATTACGACTTTCTTGGTTGAGCATTGTGGATAAGTGTTTCTCATTTTTTTTTTCTCTTTAAATTATCAATTTTATCAATATTTAAAAAAATGTACGAGTATCGCGATTTTAATATTTCGTACATTTATAAGAATATGTACAATTGTACATAGAAATCTATAAAGTAATATACAAAAATATATACATGCATGAAATAGGCATACGAGTATTAGAATATTTGGAACATTGGGATGGAATTCCTTGAATCTGGATTGTTGCATGTAACGATAACCTATATGGATAATTATGTACTTATTTTAATTGCAATCTTTATTAAATGATCTATGTTTCGTACATTAACATAATATCAGGACGAGGAAGATGATATATATTATCTTTTTTAAGAGGGGAAAGACAAAAAAAGCATACAGTCGTAGAAATGTAATATCTATGATAATTTTTTGTTGTATATAAATATAGAAATTTGGAAGAAAAATTAATTAATTGAAAAGAGTAATTATATAAATTCGAAAAATTTCAATTTATCTCTGACATAATTTAATTGAATTCTTCTTTTAATAAGTACTATGAACAAAGATTTTTTTTTTTTTATAATGGAGGAATTAAAAGTTCTTAAGCCCATAACCCTTGTCATACTATTGCAATTTCTTAAATTTAACGCTACACAAGGGAGAAGTCCCTATATATAAACATATAGCCTACTTATGTACAAAATATTTTACACATGTTTAAACATATATAATCTCTCAATTTGAGCATTTTGCCTCAATATAATGATTTTACTAAAAAATCACATTGCTTGTATCACCTGCTGCTGATTCGATAATGTTAGCAAAGAGTTTAGTCTAATAGTTATAAATAATCCAAAAAAGATAAAAATTGGAAAATTATTCGATAATGATAATGGGGAACATGTTTGCCATTAAAAAACTTGCTACATTTTTACTCAGTAATATTGTAAAAGGTCTGTACAAGAGGAAATATATCTTTGAAGACGGAATCAATACAATTGGATAAAGTGTGTCGTATGACCATCCCGATAAATCGGATCGTCTGTGATGGACGCGCGGCATAGCGGACACGATCGCTCTCTATCGAGCCACGTTGAGACGCAAGTTTCGCAGAAAATATGCTTGCAATGAAGCTTGACCGGCGTAGTATATTCTTCGTGACAAATAGCACATATACCGCCAGATGCAATCACCTGTTCCTTCGACGGAGATACTCCTAAGCTCTATAAAGAAAAAGCATTGCTACGCTGCTACTAACATTGCGATAACATGACAATTTTGAAAATAATAAAAACGTGAGTTTTTGCATACCACATTTTGGAATAGTTTCCATACGGCGGTGCGAAACAGTTTGAGACGTGATAATAGATCGCTGCCTTTGCTCATGGTATACATCACTGAAAAGAAAATTCCTACGATTTTCTCTGGACCTTGATACGTCTCGAACAGGTAATACAACCACGGTTGGACAGGCGCGACACATCGATAAAGTTGAGACGTTGCTTCCACCATAAGATAATATTTGCCCTGAAATGGATCGATGTATTTCATCTTGTCCATATTGTATAAATAATTTCCAAACATAATTTCGAGTCAAAATAAGGATACTTACGCGATTTTGAAATGCCAGTAATCGTACCGGTAGACAAGTCAAGAGAACTTTGCACATAATGGTGATAAGTTTGAGGAAGAAATCCATCACTGTGACGTAGCAGAGCAAGTCCCAAATTGTGAGTGGCTCTGCATAAGGAGCGAAGGCATGCAGATCGAATGTGTATCCGACAAACATGATACAGGCAATGATATAGCACAGGATTAGCATAAGTAGCGACCAACTACGATTATGCTGTTTGGCGATCTCGCGTTTGAGATCGTTATTAGCGTGAATAAATGTAATCAGCAGTACAACAAACATAAATATTCCAGCTCTGTGATCATAGAGACTCTTAGCAAGAAGAATTGTAACAAAGGGAACATATTGTTGAAGTTGCTTCAGCATCGCTCGAGTTTCCGGACCTATTTGGACATTGTTATTGTTGGCGGTATTGTTCTCTGAGGCATTGTTATTATTTTGGCTTTCTATAATTTCGTTTGCACCCTCGTGTACATTGCTCGATAAGTCATTTGACAGTGTCGATGTTATGTGGTGGTGGTGATGGTTGCGCATAGGTTCATTGCGAGTACTGTTCGTTATAGGTTCTTCTAGATTGATTACATAGCTATCGCTTGGTAATGCAACTGGGTGAACTTGATTCCGAAGTCCATGAATGGTCAAGAGTGATGTCAATGATATATTAGGCTATTAGAGAAAAAAAAAAAAAATGATTAGATAAAAAAACATTATCTCTTTCTAATATTCGGCAATGCATTGTTTGAATAATACGTACTGCTGCCTGTTGTATGAGAGGACGAATTCCTTGTATAGTAGAGGATATATTATCTGCAAATATTCTAGAGCGTTCTGCTGTTCTGACACCAAAATTAAACGCTGTTCCAGGGTTTATATTTCCCAATGTATATCTAGTACCAGCTGGTAATTCTTGAATTTGTCTATCTTCATTTGAATCTGATATGTCAGGCATTATTAAATCACAATTACCTCTTGACGCCCCTTCTATTGGTCTATTCTCATCCATATTTTATCTAACATACAGATTTTTATCAATGTATTAATATCTATATTAGTACGAACGAAGAAATAGCTTATCATTCTGTTTATCACATCATCACATATACACAATCTTTATGAAATGTTCTTAACTTGATATAGTAAAAACAGAGAGCAGTATAGCATATTATATAATGTATCCGACATTATTTCAATTAATTTATTGGAGTGAATATATTGTCACATGCTTTAAATATTATGCTCTATATATCTTCAACAATAACGAAAATAAATGCCACGATATAGAAGTGTTAAAGATAAAGTAACAATTAAACAATAACAGCAGATGTTTACTAACATCTAAAGTTGGAAGAAAAAAAAAAATATATTACCTCGAGATATATACTATAACCATATGTAAATTTTGTTAGGATCGTCTAAACATTCTTGCGTGAATTTCCGCTGTATGCCTTGCAATCTAGGAAATTCCACGTCTATTTTGTGTCTCTCGTAACAAATGTTCTCTTAGGGACTTTTCCCTTCTTTTCCGAATCTCTGTTTATCATAATCATAATGTGCAAACGCATATCGTGTCACGCCATTTTCCTTACGATTATTTGTACGATTGCAATTGGATCTAGCTCGAGCACGCGTATTTAAAACCAAGGATGTTTGAAAGTTGAGGCGCGTTTTTTTTCCCCTCCGGTAATTTTCCTATCTTGTTGAACGAAAGGTAAAGTTTTTACAGATAAGTTTGGAAAGTGTATTTATCTGATTTTTTAAAATATCTATTAAATATTCTATTTCCATGCTTCATTTTCATGTACTCTCATGTGTATCGACGCTGAAATAAAAAAGAAACCTGTTGTATCATCTGTTCACATTGTGACCAATGTAATATCGAGAATCGCTTATAGATGTCGATATGTATCAAACTGATCGCATCTTCCTCCTTTTTTTTTTCATGACTGATTTATCCGAAAAGGGCGCGACGCGTATATCATTTCCGGACGTGATTATATAAACTCATCCGGTATTATTATAAATCACGAAGTAGGAGGAAGAATAAGAGATTACCACGGATTAGTAAGCACGGAATACAAATTGTGAAGAAAGGTTAGTGAATAAGTAATAATTAATATTAATCTTTAAAAAATAAGAAAAATTTACAAGTTTAAGAAAGCTTACACTGGCAAGTGCGTTCTGCATTTTCTCTTTTTTACACTTTCATCACGAGTCGATTCTATATAGCTGTAAGTGCACTTTGATATCGGATGCTCGACAGGCGCGTTTACAGCTTTCGTCCAAATAATCGAGGCGATTATTCCCAATGTCCGCGCCATGTAAAGTATCGTTTGATTGAAGCTCATGTCCTTCAATCCGTAGCACTAAAGACAAATCATTACAAAATATTTCATCAATTTTGTTAGAATATTTAGAGTGATATTTTATTTCATTTTCTTCAATTTTTCCTTTAAAAAATTCTAAATTATAAAAAAATATACAAAAAATATAAAACGTAAATTATACTATGCATTTTGAATATTCTGTACTTAAAAATTTTTATTTTTGCTAAAACACACGCACAGTTCTACCTGAAAAATAATTGAAGCTATGGCACTTTGTTCCGGATAAATAGGCTTCCTCTTCGGTTTCTGCAACGCTGATTGTAATATCCGCGTAATATCCTGCGAGAGCTATAAAGATCTTAGCTTTATCGCTTTATCTTAGTAAGGATGAATGTTTTTTTTTATCGGGCAAATGTTGTCTGGCATAATCCAAAAGAGCCGTATACCGTGGGTCGTAGAAATCCGCCTCTTTGTGTCCTATCAATTTATCTCTGCTCCATAAATTTAGCACGCGAGTTCTCAAGGCGTGTTCCGTCCACGCTTGGCCGAGCATATTCTGGACTTTTGTTTGCAATTCTTTCCACTACATAATGTACGAAAAAAAAAGGTATAAAAGTATAAAGATTTTTTTTTATTTTTTTTATTTTTAACCATTCGTTATCGAGACCTGCGACATCGTTCCACTTTTTGGCTCGTCGATGTACGCTAAAACGCTGCTCGATAATACCTCATTTATATGGAGATCAGTCGAACCCAAAATATGCGTGACATGAGCGGCAGGAGCCCCGCCATCGTCATCACTGTTAACAATTGTTTGATTTTTTAAATTTTTTCCTCAATACTTGGTCAATTTGAAATATAAAATAACAGGATTTTTAACTAATATTATTGACACGAAATTTTGCCTCTCAATTAATTACTTTTCTTTTTAATTTACAATTTTTTAAATATTTTAGATAATTAGTTTTGTGATTTTTAAATGTATGTTTAATATTTGAACTTACTTTTTATTTCTGAAAATTTGTATTATCGGATGGCTACACTTACGCGTTTAAAGTTATGTATAATCTGAGAAAATCCGCGACCGATGATTTTCGACTGTCAAAACTCTCATTCACATTGGTCAAGCATTCTAATAGAAATTGCACCCAGTCGCCGTCATAGTTCACATTTGTTAACATTTTTCTCTTTGCAACCAAACTGACAATCGCTGGTAAGGTTGCAAGAAATTCCATACCGTCCTCATAGGTATACTTAAATCAAATCAAAATAAATGGTTTATGAGATATATCGAGAGAAATATAATATATATAGACGCGTCAATTAAAAAATATAAAATAATAATGCTTTGCAATAAAAAGACAATAGTTTCATAGTAGAAAATTATATTACTTTCTTTAACGATTAGTCACAATAATAAAATAAAAATTCAAGAAGAGCTATACAGCTTGCTTTTAAAAACAAAGATTTTAATATCTTTTGTAAATTTCTTTTATGTTTATATTATCATAATTTAATGTATAGTATTTTCTATTTTGTTTTTAATCTTGTTATTGCATTCTCTACACTTTATTCTTCAATATTTCATCAAAGAAAACAAAGCTTTTTTTTTTCTTTATTAATAAAATGTCAATTTTTATAAATAACACGATTTTCTGCTCGTTGAGTAAAAATTTCTATATTTTTTAAATTACCTCCCAATATGTGTATGGCATAGCACCGTGTCTCTTGGCCTCCTTTGCTTGTTTGCTGATGTTGAAAATTGTGAGCGCGACCGATAATCTATGCATGGGTGTAATTGCCTCGGGCATAGAACGCAAAACTGAAACTATCATTTCACCCCGCGATCCTGACCACCACTCGACACATTTTTGACGTCGCGATGTCCAATCGGCTATCAACGAAGCTGTCTGCTGCTGCGTCGGAATGTCACCGGTTAAAAGCAGCCAAAAGATAGCTTCCGCACTCGGCGAGTTTCCTTGACGGGGCAATAGAGTGATTACTTCCGGTATAGTTAATCCACGGTACACGATCTAAAGAAATTTCGAAATTAGAAAAAGTATTGATTTTTTTCACGAGAAGCTTAAAATTTCATCGAACCAATAAGAGAATAAATTATTTGATCAATTTATTATAAAAACATAAGAACATAATACAAGTTAAGCAAATATTGAAGAAAAGCTTGGAATATCCCTAATAAATATCATAATTTTTTTGAAATACGTTGTTTGTACAAAACAATAAATAATTATATAATTGGTAAATAATAATTATAGCGCGATTAAATATTCTGCGATTATTACGCCGTGTTTAGGATCGATTTCCGAAGTTTCTTTGACGATCGATTTTATATCGCTTAATCCATCATATAGGCTGTCGATTGTAATCTGACTAATAATATTCGGACCGAAATTACGTCGAATATATCTCAGGAGATCGTGATGCACGGGAATCTTCTCGCAGAGAGCCTCTTTTAAGTTTGTGCTCGTGCTGGGCTCTCCTCTCGTCTTGCTTATCTTAGGATAACAGATTTAATGTTCATCTCGTGTACATTGAAAGACTGTTTACGTATTGAAATAGAACCACGGAATTAGCGAGTTTCGCCAAGTTTCTCGCGCGAATTATATCGCAACATCGATAAATCAATTCCAACCGTCATACGTTCTCTCGTTCCAAAGTTAGCCTTTCTTTCACTGGACGTGATGCAATTTTTTCCTTTATCCCATAGAGTGAATAAACGAACTCTCTGACATCCTCTTGACTGTTGAAACATCTTTCGTAATTTCTAATAATCTCTTCACTCGAGGATCTGAATTGACCGACGATACGTTACATGAAAGATATAGCAAAAATAAAGCAGCGTTGAATTCTATTTAAAATTTTTTTTGGTTGCGAAATTTGAATTTATTTTTATGTAAAATTAAACGGAGCAATTTTTGCGTTACTTTGAAGACATTTTGACATTTAATCTGAAGAGAAATTAGAAGCGAGAGTTTTCGATTTTACTGTGTTTTGAATTGTTATATCACTTCAAGTATATATATTTTTTTTCTATTTAATACTTACTGCACTGATGAAAATCTGTAATCTGTTAAATGGTAATTATGCAAATACACGTATTAGGCAATTTTCAAAGCGAAATGCAATATTTATGCTACATGTAGAAAAAAAAGATAATCTACATGCACATCAGTAATATTTCGCTGATTTTTATTGCGAATATCGTGCGTATACATACAAAATAAGAGATTATCACTTGTAGATTGCACAATATCGTTCTTGTATTTGTATGTATCAGTTACACTACATATCACACTGATACAGATCGATAGTATAGAACGAGAGAATCACAACTGAAAAAATATGGGATACTCGCAGCTTCATATTTTCGGTGTATTTCTCTTTATATTTTAATGATTTTTTAATTTTATCTTTACAGTTTTGATTCTCTCTCTCTTCTCCCTCTCGTTCCAAGCCATCGAACATACGTCGTTTACGATATTCGTACAAACGTCTAACGAATACATGCGGTCGCGTATTACAAAATGCATTTGTGCAATTCGAGTAATTGAGCATTTATGTATCTTTTTATGTCATTATCAGGATCGTATGATTCTTCTCAACATGTGTTCAAATATAATAGATAATAATAATATTGATAACATTCTATTGCTAATGTATAGTGTTCTACTCACATGTGACACTGTACGCTGTGTATGAGCGATTAAAATGACGCCTTTAACGAGTTATGGGAATGTGTCTCATTTCAATATCTAAGATAAAAATTGCGCGTGTATACATGTGTCTGTGCACAAACGTTGCATTTATCTTAGAATACATACAAACGGTAACAACGCTAATATACACGATATATACTAGTATAATCTAAGTATATATGTATATAACATCTCATAATATATATTAACGATTACGTCTTTCGCAAATGATTAACTATATGTTCAACACTAAATTAATAATTGATTAACTTTTTTAACAGAGTATAGTAAAATATATATGTATATATACTATTGCTTCGTCCTTTCTTAGGCCGAATGCAGCACGAGGAAAGGATTGAGCTGAAAGAAACTCGATGCTGCATTTTGCTATTTTCTCGTCTTATTTAGTATCATAATCTTGTTATTTTTTATTTGCATTCGGTAATCCTCCTTCCTAAGCATTCTTTAACATTCGTCCATCATTGTCGAATGTTAATTTCTATATTGGCGTGATTTCATTTTCTTCGGAGAAATTCAATGAAATCGATATATAATTTTGATTCGTCAAAAATCGTGTGCGCACACACACAAGTGACATGAATGCTAATACAAAAAAAAAATATAATACCGCAAAGAGATGAGTCCTTTCCACTAAAGTCTGGAAATTTTAGTGAATGATTTGTTAGATTAGAAAATCTTTTATACATACGATTGAAATTTGCAGCGAATTTACCGTTGACATATTTTTTCCATTATTAATATTTTCGAAATTTCAATTATTATTGTCACTTATATTCCGAAGTTACGTCTCCTCGCTCGTACATCTGCACGCGTTCGACTCTTTGCAGCTTTAGAAGAGCTGTATGACGTCTATTGCTTTTGACTTTCATCGATCGATGTGCCCTTTATTGAGCAAGTCTTCATTGCTTGAAACCCAATAATACACGGTACGCTAAATCGACGACGAGTCTTACCGCGTATTGTACATCTATCGAAAAACGCATTTTCGTTCGCGATCGTAAGAGAGCCTCGTATGACCTCGTAGAGAACATGATTTAATCTCAATGTCAGAGAAGAATGCACTTCTCGGTATCGTGTTGATAGGATCGCATCGGTTGCGAAGCCGCGGGTGATGGCGAGTTTGGCCTACCCTCTATCGCCTGAATACTCTTCATTAGTTCTCGAAATACCTATTAATTATCGAGATATATAGCTGTTAGTCATTTTTAATTTATTAAATATTTGCTATTATTTTATTTTGATATAACACATAAAAAGTGAATTTTATAGAACAATGAAACGTAAACTTACAATTATATAATTCTAAACGATATTCTAAAAATTCTACAAGTTTAATTTTAAGTCTTCGATAAATTTTCCGACTTTAAAAAAAAAAAAAAAATTCGTTTATTATTTGTTGCAGCAATTTTAACGCTAAATTTGATAAAATAATAGTCGAATTAAAGGGACTGAGAGAGTAAAGGTAATTTTAATTCGAACTAGATAATACGCAGATTATCTCTCGGCGGAGATTGATAAATAATATATGAAGCGTACCTGTACGACGCGACAGTTAAATCTGGCACTACACTCGACGTAACCGCATCTCCAATGCTTTCGGACAAGATTCACGATATCCCTGTATCTGGTTCCGGAAGCAACGGTCTGTGACAATTCGTCCTGCTTATTTCCAACCACTAGCAACGGTACGCCTCTCATGTCGCGCGCTTCGTAGATTTGTTCGCGTAACGTCCTGATATACTGAATAAATCAATCATAATTGAGAGAAGAGAAATATATTTTTTAATATTTTAATTTATAAAATTGAAGAAATGGATGCGTTATTTTAATACCGCACACAGTTTTAAAAATGCACGTCAGAATATTTTTAGATGAGATACATATGATTTAGAAAGTTTCTTCTTTTTGTAGTTTAATTATAGCATATAATTGTCTTATTTTATCTCGTGTAACATTATATCACAACGTTCTTCGTCTATATTTTTGACTTGTTATCAGCAAAAATCGATTCAACACCAGTGAACTCGTGCAAACTGTGTTAGGTTTTGTTCCCAAGAGGTCGACCTTTCGTCACCCAGGCAAACATCCAAATAATCAAACTTTTATACCGGCAACTTCGAGCCGGCTGCAACTCGAAGCGAAGTGATAATTTTCGCGAGAAAAAAAATTGCAGGAAAAACTTTGGAAAAAAGACCCATGTTTGTTGAGTTTTTGACATTCTTCAAAATGAAGTTCTGTCTCCTGTGAGCCTATGTGCAATTTATCACGCTTTATGTCAAGTTCCTCGTTAGGGATATATACCTGAAACGTGTCTTGATTACTGAGATCAAACACGAGCACGTACGCTGTCGCGCTTCGCAATCCGTAATAACGGAAGTCGGTCCATTCCAAATGCGAGCTAACCGGGAAGTACGGAATAGTCGGCAGATCGGTGATCTTTAATTCGTACAATCGATCGGCCAGTACTACACTCGGATAAAATGTCTCTCGTCGTTCGGTCGGCGTGTATTCCTCGGAGAACTCACTCCAAACAAATTGCTGGAAGAATAAACAAAAATCACGCCTGGAGTTAGTAAAAATAATAAGCGTAGAGCTATATAGTAAAATTACAAAAATTTAGCGAAAAATTAGTTTTGAAAATTTAAATTTGTATGTATTGGCCGCTAAAGAAAAGACACATTTTTAAATCACATTTTGACACATTTTTTCGTCAGAAGCGAACGGCGTTCCTTAGGAAATTCGTTGTGCCTTTTAATTTCCTTGCGACTCGATAATCGTCGCCTTCGATAAGCGGAAACTGCTATCGGAAATGAATCGAGCGCCCGAGCGACTCGTTTCCGCGATTTGTTCCCTTCCTAGCTTTGAAACAAAGATTCTGACACTTCTTTATCAATTATATACGAGATACGCGTATATAGATTGTGTTTCATATAGAATATTTGCAAAGTTATATTTATTGGTGCGTTTTTGCATTCTCTTTGCCAAATTAATAGAAAGTAATTTATAAAAAAATAAACAACTATTGTAATGTATTTATAAAAATATTAGATTTTTAAATTTTGTTAAGTTAAATAATTCTTATTTTAAATTAAGACGAATATATTTATTAAATTTGTAGAAATTCGATGACATAATTCGATCGCATAACTAACTGCGCGTTTAATATCCGAGAAATTAATTCAAAGACAGGATAAAAAATATTTTCACGCGAAATGCACAAAGGTAATTGATACGATCATGTTATGAAAGGACTTTACTCGGATTATACTTGTTTTTCCCACGCCGGGTGCACCCAGGAAGACAACTTTAACGCGATCTAATGTATCCGCGGGACTATCCTCCTCTTTCGAGCTGCCTTCGGCACCTTCGTAGGTTATTGTATTTCCGCCTCTTCTTTCCAAATAATCGAGGTCCAGCTCTGTAGCAAAGGCAATCGAATTGTGAACAAACGCAAATAGTGTGTATATGTGCGACATGCAATGTAGGGAGAACTTGTTGCTCTTTATACACGGTGTCGAGGGATTTTGTAACTTTGACAATCCGATCTTTGGGAATATTGCAATGCGAATGAATCTCCTCGTTTTGAATAATTTCGCAATGTGCATGTTCTGCAAATTATGCAATTTTGATGAAATATTCAGGATATACACAGCATATTATTTAATTAACTGAAATTATTCTCAAAGTTCAAACTGTATTTTACATTTATATAAAGAGTATAATCAAAATTTTATCAGTATAAATTAAAGTCAAAATATTTTTTTGCTATAATATAGATAAAAAAATGTTAATTAAATTGAAAAAAACTGTTTGTGCAAAAAAGTGGTAAATGTGGTTGTCTGATAAATCCGATAAATTGTTAAATATTGCAGTCTAATTAGTATACCACACAGGCACCGAAACTGATCAGAAAACCTTGTTAGTTTTTTACGTGGATTTAATTTTTAAATACGATATGTCCGCAGAGAGAAGAGAGAGAGAGAGAAAGAGAGAGAGAGAAAGAGAAAATGCGAAACGATCCGATGGAACGAATGAATTAACAGTATTTAGAATCCGCTTCGGAAGAAATAAATGCTAAGATCCTAACTTTAGTCGTTAGTCACGGTAGAACATCGTCTCGCACGTATTATAAAGTACGTTTCCATAGAAAACTTTACGAAAAAGTATTTTCTTTGAACATTTGTTTTGTTGATTTTGCAATATCTCTCAGTAGGCGTTATTCTATAGAATCTTCCGTCATAAAAATATATTATTCATGAGACGAGAGAGAATATTTTTATGCAGAACTCCATACGCGCATCCATAAATTGTGTATCTTTTGTGATCGGATTCGTTTGTCTTTACAAAAGTATTTACTTTACGTTGTAGATTTACTTTACGGAATTACACGTGTGAACAAAACGCGTTTGTAGCGCGTCCATGATGAAAAAGATTTAATTTAAAGATATAATTTTGCGAAAGAAATAAAAAAATTATTAATTGCAAGGACACGTCATATGAAGAAGTATAGCATCTCGTATCGTCAGAGTTTTTAATGATTTTATGAAATTGAAATAAAGCGTCTGTGTAAACTATATTCTTGTATAAATTTAAATTAAAAGCTATATATGACGTGCTTATATTTAACAAATTAATATTTAATTATGGACAAGATTATACATGATTTTATCCTGCTCTCTGAAGTTGAACAAGATGCGTCAATCCATGCCGCCATAAATAAAAGCGAACGACAAATGCACTTGATAACGGAAATCAATGCCCAATTTGTTATTAAATAATTGAATCAATTAAGAAGATTAAGTGCGCTTATAATATAGCATTACATCGCAAAATAACCACGATGACTAATTATGTTTAGATTAACAGAGAAATCTATCGAGAATTATATCGCGCTTATATTTTAATATATAGGATAAGCAAGTTTATAGAATCTTTACGTTCTTAAATAAAATTGTTATTAATTTTCCCGCATCGTTTTTTTCTTCGTAATAAAAATAAAAGTATCTCACATGCATTTATATAGAGTACGATGAACTTATTGAAACGTCACGTGTATTGACAAGAGAGAGCGAATCTCGTTTACCCAAAAGCCGTCTGTTCGCTTGCAAGATTGAGCTCGACGTAGTCTCGTTGTCTTTCACCGAGCGATCCATTTGATTGAATTAGAATATCGCGATCATGGCAAATGACGAATGTTCGCATCGCGCATCTATCGTCGCGTTCAGACGACCTTCGCGGTCGAAGTTCGCCGATCGACTGACGAGAAACTCCGGGATACTGTCTCTTCTCAGGCAGGGATCAACGACCATATATGTATATATATATTCCGAGAATTATAATTCTGATTATTATGAAATATAGTATCTAAAATATCCCTCCAAATTATATTCAAATTGTAATTTTAATGGCGAATTCTTTAAATGATAATTTTCTTTTACGAAACACATTTCTGACATTTCCTCAAGCAACGTGCTAGGGTACAGAATGAAGAGATCAATCGCATATTGACGTGTATTAATCGGATTAAATATATACAAATTATTATTACGTTAAAGTTTGCGAAAGATGTCCCGTCATCGTCGTTGTTACTTTATCAATAAAATGTCATAGTATAGAGACTCTAATTATGCATAGCTGCAAGCTTTTATCGAAACTTTTAATTAATTTTAGCTTATATTAATATATAATGTGATCAAAAGTAATCGATACGCAAAAGTAAGTTTTACGTTAAACGTTTTTACAAAAAGCTTTCATATTTTAATTCTCTTATCACAGAGAAATTTCGTACTTTGATTTTTTAAAACATTTTAAAGATCTCATTATATTAAGATAAAACATAGAAAAATAATAACGAATAATATGTAAAATACATTTTACATAACGTTTTATTTAATGGATAGAGACGGTTTTCTCTCTCGTGCACGCGTCTTATAAGTAACAATAGACAAATAAGATATTTAGAGAAAAAATTATAATACTTACGATAGTGTTTGTGCGGCGGGAGGCTTCGCCTCCTCCAGCCGCTCGCAGTTTTTGTACCTATGGTTATCGCTGATTCGCAAAAAAATTCTCACAAGTTTCTTCGTGTCGTGATTAACTTTGATACGATTTCGTTGTTTGAGACTTCTAATGATTAAAGTGAATTCAATCTCGTCGATTGCGTTAACAGTGTCTTCCACACACTATTGTGTTTTTTAAAATTTTTTCCTCTTTTATAATTTCTTTACTTTATCCTTTTTTGATATATTATAAATATGTATAATTAAAAAAATACCCACGTGGATTATTTTTCTTATTAAAAATGATCTCACTGTGTATATTTTAACTCTAGAATATATATAATTTAAGTGTCAATGTTGTTTACAATCTCGTTGACTGCACTCCGCGAACAAAAGGTTTTGATTGTCCATTGGGTATTGCTTTATCCCGAATAAATATTCCGAGTTCGCGTTTTGTCTCGCTTCATATCCTCTCAATTCACAACATCCCCAAGAGACATCTGTAATATTCTACAGATAGATTATGTAACTCGTTGCATGTCTCACGTATGTATGTGTGTATCACTGTCTTTGTTAACATAATTGAACAATTCTATTGCATTTTGATATAAATGTTCATAATAAATTTTAGAATGTTAGGAGAATTCGAATGTTTATTGTGCGTATATTCGATTCTATCGAGAAAGTATTTAGAAAACTACATTCTCGCCAGGTAATTTTATTGCAAAACCGTGTTTCTTTCACGTTAAATCATACCGGCTAATTATATTCTTGAATATTGTATCATCCAAAGGTCAACGAACTTTTATAGAACCAGAGATAGAAATTGTCATAAAATTTCTACAAGTTCAAGATGTTGATGAAAAAAAAACCAGATTCGTGGTGTAAAAAAAATGTATGTTGATTTGCTCGCGTCGTGAAGAAATATAGCGATTATTTTTGCATATGAATAATATCGAGATTTAAACTCGTGGAAATTATACATTGATTTCGAATCCTGCTAACTAGTCATTTAGATTTTACTACGTTGACTGAGATAACTCGCACAATGCATGATCTTGATTGACCATATCAATCTTCGGTCCTCGATCTTCGATCTCAGGATTTTTTTAGATCATCGATCTCGCACGTCTAGATCCGATCTGTTCGTCGCACTCGCGATCAGATTCGGCGACCGAAAATGTCTCAGAGAACACCAATGCACTTTTCCTTTGCATCATTTTCATTTTTCTGTAGTAATTATAACAGAATCGACGATAAAACGCTGAAGTAGATATGGTCGCGACGTGCCAGACGCGATTCACGCGCCTGTATTGCTTGATGTATATTGCTTCCCGATGAGAGACGATGACGGCGAGGATGCCAGGATGATCGTCACTGACAATCGTCAGTCAAATTCCGCATGGTCGATTTCGGATCCTTCAGATCTTGTCCTTGACAGAGCCAGCAGCTGATTTCATCTCCGCGCAGTCGGTGCATCTTTCTTTACCGACGGCGATGCGTGATCGCAGAATCCTCTCTCTGGACCACAAAGATCTCCTTCTCTTCCGAATATCGAGGCCTGGCGTCTCTCGATCGACGATCCTTGAATTATGCAATCGCGTGTGATTGGCACCACGCGTTCCGCAGACGTGTCACTGTCACGATAACGATGCGATATCTCGGTATAGGCAGCATCGCGAGATCACGCACGAGGGTAGAGGCGTCTCGGGAGGCATCCCCCGGACGATCGAAACTACCCCTAGAAGCTTGGAGATGCCTGCTCGGTTTGCGCCTGCGTACGACTCCGAACCCACTATCGAAGCAACGGGCGCGCCAATTTCTCATTCATTTTGTTAAATGCTTATTTTTACGAGCGCTGTCGATAGATTGTTGCTTCGTCTTTTACCTCGTCCCGAAATATATATATATATAACATCTCCGCGCACTTTTACGTCGATATTTTATTAATATTGGAAAACCGCAGAGCGGGGGAGGAAAGAGAGAGCGCGCAGCCGCGTGTGTCTCGTTTTATTTACGCCAAGTGTTTATCTCGATATCCCACATCGAATTTTTTACTAATAGTAAGAAAACACGATGTATATAGAAAATTGCATTGAGGAGGAAAGATTAATTCTCTTTGTTTATATCTCCCAAAGCGTTTTCTTGGTAATATCATAAGTAAGAGCGACGGGATATGATCCTTTTTTATCTCTATGATCCTATTTTCATGCTAACTCTTGCGCGTGCATTTCTTGCACAATTATACTTCATCCCGTCGTAAATAATGTTTATAACAGATGGTTACGTTCTATATGTCGGAAGAAGAATTGTGTTCTTCGAAAGCAACAATCGAATCGAATAAGGAGAAACCCGCGGTTCTCACTAATTTATTGAATTTCCTGAGACAAGCGTTTCGCGATGTTACTATAACATAACGAATATGTGTTTCCTTCTATAACTATTATTTTCTACGAATGCGTTTTATAACGGAGCAGCACTTGCGTAACGAATTCTTACCAGGTGCTGTGGTTCAACATGAAAGACGATATTTTGCAATAAGACTATTACGACGGAAACGTAATTTTCTAAACTTTCTCGACCGCATATAAGAATTTGAATTCTCCTCCAACACCTCGGAATTTATTATGAACGTTTATATCAAGATTTTATTAAATAAATATAGTACATATATACCTTTACATAGAGAAAAACTATTTGATAATACTGTGACTATCGTCAGTTAAACTTGATTACACGATATAATATACATATACGTTAATTACACGGTAAATTATCAAAGTAGATCGAGGTCGGATATCGTCAGACACGCCTTCGCCTATTTGCGTTTTTTTTTCTTTAGAGTATATTACGTTATTCTTCTTCTCTCAACAATGTACATTGAATTTCTTGCTGTATCCCCGACAAAGAACATAAAAATATCTTGCATCGTCTCGTAAAACGATATCCGCATCGATGAAAGGTATATATTTATATTTATAGTATAACGGTCAGAATGAGCAGCCATGCACGGTGCAAACATCCTTTTGGACATCTTAGACGAAATATTGTGAGGAAATATTATCTTATACTTGAAACATCGAGATATATTATTATTATGAAATATAAAAAGCGAGGTACATTAGGTATACGTTTATTCATCCACACGTGTGGTGTTACGCATATATAATGAAAATATATATATTATATATCTTACTTTCTATATTTATATATTTATATATATTTATTAGATTCCCAAGTCCCTAAGTATTATTTGATAATTGTACCATATTTAATAATTGACGTATCACATCAATTGTGTATCGCCGCTTTTCTTATCTCATCGAGACATAAGGCCAATCCTTTTTTCGCTCTTACAAGGCGACAAAGATTTTTATTTGACTCGCGACTATGTATTCGTTGCTACGTATCTCATTGATTGACGAATTCTTACTTTAATCTTCTAGTAGATGTGTGATAAGAAATAAAATCGATGGGCTGTTTAATGATTATTCCCTCGGAGGGTTAAGTGACAATAAATATGGAGATTAATAAATCGTATTACGTGTCAAAACGCATTTTCTGTGCTAGAAAGCCTAAAATGTATCTGAAATCTAATCGTTACTAAGAAATATTCTAGAAGGAGATAGAAAGCAAATAAAAAGAAAATTTATATAAGAATTAATTAAGCTGTAAAATTTGCAAGATAATAAAAAAACAACATTTATATAAATAATTTGTCGAGCTATCTATATAAATCTATATAATATATATTTTTGCGTAATCTAATTTTTAATATTGAATGCAAGAAATATAATTAGTAAAAAAATTGACGTGCATTTAAATGTATCAAGACAAACGCTACTTTTTCTTGCATGCATATAATAAAGCGTGTGCCATTGCTAAATTTTAATATTACTATTACGATTTAGCGGATTACTGTCTTATTACTAAATATAATTATTCTATTTACACATTATTCACTATCTTGTTAATGTACATGCTTTCAGACGCGATTTTTGAAATATATTATGCTCGAGAACGCGAAATAATGCTAAACAAAAACTATAATTCTTTCGCGTATATTTATTATTATACCTTTCTCAATCATTCCATTGTCGATCCTATTATCGACATATCGATACGAGCTGTCACAGTACATCTTAAACAATATTAGCGTATATCTTCCCCGTCAGCATTGAAACTTGCGACAAATTAATTGTACATGAGACGAAAATGAATCGCGACAAATGCTTATGTTACCGTCCTTTTCATTATTGTACTTATTGCATGCATGATAAATGCAAAGAAGAAAATATAGAGAGCTATGCGTTAAAATTTACATTTTAACGGAAAAACTACTTATTTTTTCATTGACTTGTCTAATGATAAAAAGGGATATTTATGTTATATTGCTTCTATATGATTTTAAATAATTTTTTGTGTAATTTCTCTTAGAATTTTTTACTTAATATTTCACTATATGTGCCCGTAAAAACGCAGGACTCTTCCTGCGGAAATCTTTTTGAATATGAATACTCCACATTTGGTCTCTTGTAAATATCTTAAAAAATATAATTTCGCACAGCCGCGCGCAATACGAGATACTGCGTCCGCATCTGGAACGCACAAACCCAATTGTTCACTTCAATTGCACCAACACCATGAAATAAGTTACTACGGCTCCCAATACCTGTAGAATTTTATTAAAGAATTGTAAAGTTCGAAGAAACGTTTCGTTCTAATTTCGATAAAAGGGAATAAACGAAAAAAAAAAAAATAATAATTAAGAGATATAAATTTTTAATCTTACCGAAGCAAAGAGATCTAGAGACACCGTGAAGAATTTCGCTCCTGATATTGACATAGCTTTCTGACACTGTTGACACACGATCTGCACGAAGGTCTTAGCTTCCTCCGATCCATCGTACCAGTGGCAAGAATAAGCCGCTTCCATCACCGAAGTGCTCTGCGCAAAGATTTTAATTACTTGGCGAAAATTAATTCTAGAATCTTAGCAATATATCTCTTTAAAAAATTATGTTAAAAAATATAATTCTTTTTACGTTTTATTCTGTAATTTATATTATATTTTTTTCGAAGTATATATATATATATATAATTTTATTCTTAAATTTTAGAAAATATTAGATCTCTTTATTTACGTACCTCTTCTATCAAGCGATTTCCAAATATGCAAAACAAGAAGACTTGGCCAAACGTGTAGAGTATATAGCCGATCGTGGAGGCCGCGTAAACATTTATACCGTTCACCTATAGCATTTAAAACTCAAACGTATTAGTATGAATTCTTAATTCTTATATGTTAGAATATGTTCGAGTTCGCATTAACCTCATCGACTTTGCATTACTTGTTTTACTAATTTATACGATCGATATGTAATTTGTTGAGGACCTTGAAAAAGAATATGACCGGACATCGACGCTCACCTTTGTCGCTTGATAGGCGAGTAACGTCAAAGTAATGGTCGTCGTCAGCATGTGAAGTAGAAGCGCGAAACCATACGCGTCTCCGACTGCGGTGACCAATCTATGTGTAAAATAATGATTATTATCATTAGACGTTAATTAATCGATTATTAAACGGATGATATCTGCGAATAACTCATGCCGTCATTAACAGCCATTAACAAACGGCTTATCAAAGATTTATTCATAATATCCGTTCTCTTTCATCCATAGGCACGCCACTCTTGATTTTCATACTAAACTAAGTGATTAGAACTAAGTTGAACAACGATGAACAAATGTCTTTCGCGTTTCACCACGATATTATATCCTATTTCACTGACCGTTCGCCAAGTTAACGCTGTTCCCTGTAAGTGAATGATCGATATGTCGAAACACCTTGAAGAAAATGCGATAGTCTATACCGTGTCATGCTGAGGTCATCGCTATCGTGAAAAGACAAATCTGTAAAACGTACGCAAGTACGTTCAATATTTTTAAAAATTATTCTTTGCGTGAAAACTTATGAAATTCTTGAAATTCTAAATTATATAAATATTCAATGCGATGCATAATAGAAAAATTTTTCATTTCCTTAGATCACTTATTGTTAGTTTAACCTATAGGACATGACCTCCGTTGCGGTCAATATCTTTTATTTCCGATATGCGAAGGTGATGACACAAATCTCTATTGTTTAAATAATAATCTTTATTGTTTGAATATTAATTTTTATAATGATTTTGAGATTGATTTGCCACTTTTTTTAGAATTATGTTGTGATTATTGATAATAAAAGAATTGATATTAAAATAAAAAAATAGAGAGGAGATTTATTAAAGATAAACTCTCTCACGTGATAATTGAGGCACGTGTGAGGGACACGTCTCGATATTTAGAGTATCGAAATTATGTCAATCGAGATTAATTTATCAACGAAGATGCGTTAAAAAAAAATAATATAATTTATCTATATCGACATATTTAAATCCCGCTGTCATGCGAGAGTAGAATGATTTGTCCGATACGCAATACAATAAAACGGGCGCGAAACGTTATCTGAAAGGTCGCAGCTTTTGTGGACAAAAATCTGTCATCACATCGCGCGTGGCGCACGTGAACCACGTGTGAGCATTCACGTACACGTGAACGTGAGAGGCGAACGCGAATATCCCCCCGTGAAACCCACAGTCTGTAGAACACACGACCCCCGTTGCGGTCAATATCGCGCTTTCTTAGAAATAAATACTTCACCACCGTGGGAACACGCGCATCCCTTGCGCCAACCGACGAGTGGCTCCGGCACCCCCGCGAACCCACAGGAACACGATATCCGTTCGCGCCGTTTCTCGAGGAGCAATTTTGTATTACACCGATCGTGCATATCGTATACACGGAATTTTACAAAGTACGATATACTTTAAAAGAAAAATATAAGGGTTTTGTTTCGGTAAAATTATGATATGAGACGATTCAACATTATCAGTTATCAGGTACCGTATATAAAACATTAAAAATAGACTGCTACTCGAACTGCGTTTTATTTATGCTTAAGAAACGTGCAGCGTTGACGTTTCTAATTAATATTGATTTTTTGTTTAATTAAAGAGATTGCTTTATTCGATTTCAAAATTGCAAAATTTAACGAGTGGCTTTGATGCGTTGAATGTCACGATTTTTCAATTAACTTTGACAAAACTTAACTGTACATTGAAATGCAACTGCCTTGCGAACATTCTCATATCATATTTGATAAACTTTATCATTTGTGTAGGTAATATTTTGCACATGTACGTGTTGTTAAAATACCATGAAATTACCGAAACAAATATTAAAAGTTTTATAAAGCTTGAAAAGAGTAAATCTTTTGTTGTAATAATTACATTAATATGTTAAAGTAAAAAGTATAATCTTTTAATATTTTTTATTTAATATTATTTTCTTATTACTCTTCTACTCTCCGATCAAAATTATAAAATTTTGATTTTATTAAGGTGATATCAGATTAGCGTAAAATTAATATATATCAAATATTTAATATTTAATATAAATATATATTTTTAAAAATATTTATGTAATACTTATGCACCTATTAAAATATTTACGATTTAATCGCGCCACGTTTGGTAACTTTGTTGCATGCGCTTCTTAATAATTGAGGGGGTAGTTAGCACGTCTCTATGGAGTCAATATGATGCCTCTATATACTAAATACTTTATACATGCCGGGAAGACGTGCAATTTATACAAGATTCTGGGTCACTAGTTCACGCAAGATGCAGATGACTTTCAAAGAAATGATCCGTCGTTGACTTATAGAGTAGAGGACTCGCATGAATTAACTATATGTCTTCAGTAGGTAAGTAGAGTACGGGGGCGACTTTTGCATCTCTCATCACGCTATTCGATACTAAATCTTTTATCTCGCACAGTCTTGACGCGATTTATCCCCCGCTACTCCTCTTATTACATAATACGTTAAAGTACATCACGAGAAACTCTGGCATCGATTGACAGTTGACGACTTGTCAAACGAATCTAGCAAAATTAACGGACTCACCTGACAATATGCTTGTGTCTCTCCACCCAATACTTGATGGCACTCCGCACGAGCATCTCCTGCTTCTTCGTTAACCCGTTCGGTCCTACACCGCCGTTGAAAGTCATCCCGGCAGTCGGCCGGAAGGTCGCCGTGAAATCCTGCCGATTGCTGTATATGTTACGAAGATCGAGATCTAGCATGCTGTCGCCTTGGGGAGGTGCTGGTAATTGAGACTGAGTATTCTCCGATTCGCGGAGATGATCCGCGCTACCGGCCTGTATGCACAAAAAAAGAATTGTTTGCATGTAAAATTCGATGAAAGATATATAATCATGGTTTAGATACGAATCTTTTAAACCATTGCGTTGTTTAATTTATTTTTTCTATATTCCTTTATAGATAATTTAAATAATAAAAATTGTCTATTACACACAAAATGCGTTAAGTAAGAGAAAAATGAAATTTTATACTGATTTATATTGATTGAGATTATAATTTGAATCTCGAAAGATTAATTTTAGACTTTGTACATCAATCTAGATTATGTTTAAGATAAGACGTTATACTAGAAGAAATTCATAGAAATTCTGTAGTAATTCGGTATACCTTGAAGAGTTCACTGCTATTAGGAACTACGGTGTCCAAAGTTGCGCTCAACTCCATGAGTGGTTTCATGATATGCTTCAGATGTTGCAGTTGTTCGCAGGCAAATAGTAACCATGAGCAGAATAGTACATCCAACGAATTGGCGTTAATAAGCATGAAGAGCACCCAATAGAATTGATATACGAGCATCAACACGTGCATTATCCCTCTACTGGCATCGAACGGATAGAACGAACGGACCAACAATTTTGGTAACTACATATATAAGAAAAATTAAATTTTATTATATATATGGAATAAAATCAGATAAAAAAACGCGACTTTTATACGTGATTTATGGTTGTGTACGGCGTACAACATACGCGTCATATATATAAAAAGAAAATAAAGAAATATATTTGAAAATATTTTAATTATTTTATACTGTATGTGATTTATATTTTAATTATATATAAAATTAAATTATAGATAACTAAAGTAACATTATCATTAGAATTGGTTGTTAAATTTTTAATTGGAAAATAATTTGCTATAAGTCTGAATCACATTACCTCGATAATCGTCGTCTCGTTCGTGACCGGATCTACAATTTTTCTGATCGGATGCTCGAGGAAGGTAAGAATAGTCCATGCTATCGCGCTGAGCACGGTGGTAGCGCCGACTAAGAAGAGCAACAGCCTCATCTTTTTCAAAGCGATTGCGTGATATTTGGCATTGCTCTCAGCGAAGAGCGGATGGGTATTTGGATTATTCCATATCCCCCACGTTTTGTAGAAATATTTGCTCCTCACGGCAAAGTAAATGATCTTGACGATGCTGTGCGTGAAGAAGAGGAGGGTGATCGTGTTGGCCGTGAGATCATCGACATCGGCGCTCTCGATTATCAGATTCACGGCGCACAGACCGAATTGCAACAGCAATAGAAATAGATTCACCTAGAAAGAATAGTAATGTCCGGATGTTTTCGGATGAGTCACAAATATTTGAAGGCGAAAAAAAAATAATATTTCTTTCCATGATTATCAATTAAACTTGTAAATATCTCAATAATTTCGGTTTGATCGAGAATGAAACTTTGTGAATATATTTATGCGGAAACGTGCGAAATACATGATATACTTACGCAGCAATATATTTTATGCAAGTACTTGGACGAATTGTCGTCATAATAATTGAATACGAAATGTCCAAACATCTTCATGACCCTTATGTTGGGCATTAGATCGGCCACAAGGCCCTGCTGCTGCTTCATTTTCATCATCTGCGAGCAAACGGTTTGTTGTTACAATTCGTTAGCAACTCCACAGCTAGTGTTTGCATTAACACGCATACTTGTATCATTTGTCACAAGGCCACTAGATATACATAAAGTAATGCATACGAAATTTCCAGAAGCGACTTTTCTCCCGCGTAAAATTCATACGTTGCTAATTTGCATTTTTTCAATGTTTAATCGCAAACACACTCTAAAGAATCTCGCGAAGGTTTTCTCGATATTTTAAATAGATTTCTGCTAAGAAACCATATAATATCTACGAGATTTAGCGAAAGCTTTTTGATGCTTTGACGATTCTTTAGACATTTATACATAATTATTTTTGCTCTATAGAAAATACAAACGTCTAATAGTTGACTGAGAAATATTCTAAAATTTCATTTTTAAAGTGTTTTTAAAACATTTTAAAAATTTTAATTTTTTCCGGAAATCATCTATTTCATCGTTAAGTCTTACCTTGATAGCTTCGATGTATCCAAAATCACGAGGAAAGAACTCGTCGGTTTCGTGTAAATTACGACGCGGCTTTCAACGCCTCGCGATTACGTTGCAGCAATCGTGCTAGATATACGAGAAGAACGAAGAAAAGCAAACTAACTAGCCGGCCTGCCATCAGTCGTCGTTTTGCGATAGATCTTCGTTGTTTGCGAACAGTGGTCTCTTCCGCCGAGGCGTAGATATCCTCTGTTTCTCTTCGTCTTCTTCCAATCCCCTATGACCTGTCCACTGTTACCGCCACCACCCTATCGAAAGGAAACCCCTTCCAACAGGGTAGGTACCAAACGTGGACCAATCGGGGCTTGGTAACTAGGTAGCAGACCGCTTCGTCATGCGCTACATCGTTTCTTACATCATCCCCAACAGTATACAAGGGTCTATAATCTTCTTAATAATTCAGACCGCACGCTGTCGTGTGCTCCATGCAGTTTTCAACATAAAGAAAGTTTTAACGAAGAAAAACATTCTAAAAGTTCCAAGATGCCTTAGAGCAGCAACTGGTGAAACTTCCGCTTATCAAACATTGTCGTATCATCGATTTTATCTGAAATTATTTCACGATACTTTGCCGGAATAATTTCAGTGTTCATCTCCTTAACTCTTTTTTTACCAATAGTTGTCACCAGTTTAAATTTGATATTGATATCGACTTAAAGAGATGACGATGTTAATATCCCATGCTTGTATCAACATTAAAATAAAAAATGCATCATGTGCGTACCACAAGATCTTTGAACTTGCTCGTCCTACCTTTGATGCAATTTACTGAGGGGGAAAATATATTGATATTTTCCTCTTTAGTATATTTTTGTTAAGCGACTCTTATACACATCTCAAACGTATCTTGCAAACAAAATTTGATGACAATTTATTTTTCTTTATCTATTTAACAATATTTATAATATTTCTCATGTGCGTCTAGTTTAATTTTAATCATAGACAAGATTACGCAATCAATTTTTTTCCATAGAAAATATAAACCGATAAATCATCATTTTTTTTTTTTTAATATACACGATATAAAATTTCGTGTAAAAAAATTTACATATAAATCCTTGCAAACGCGAATGGCAATTTACTAGAGTACCGTCATCATGTACGTAAGTCGGAGTTAGTCGATGAAGATAAATGATTCGTACGTGCGGATGCATATGAAATGAATGACGCAAAACAAATAGTATAAATCGGCTGAGTGTAGTTCACCTGACCTATGTAAGTCTCAATAGTTAAATATGTCACGTATCGACTTGAAACGGGGGTCGCGCCGCAACTTACGAGCATGGATCGTAAGTCGTATACGAATACTTTATTATTTAGGACGATAGTCCTCACCCTAATATGACGATATGATGATCAGTTAATTATACTCATTACAAATTCTTGTTCCATAAAAAATGGGGTTACAAGATTCTCAATATCGAGTGTTTAACACAAAAATATCGCGCATAACGTATCTAAATTAGTTATACAAAATATAAAGATTATTTCGTCTTTTCGTTTGAATTCATCGCAATAAACCAATGATTTGAATTATTATCAAAATACATATTTAAAAATTAATTCAAAAAACTGAATTTAGCGATAATTATGTAATAAATAAAAACATTTTGCAAATTATAGGATATTTTGATTAATAAATCATAATTTGTTTGGTTGTTCAGGCAACCGATTTTGTTGATTAGCGACAGCGTGGACTAGTTGTATTTTTGAGAAGAAAACAAGGCGGACATATCTTCTCACATAGCAATTACCGAGATCGAACAACGAATTTAAAAGCAAAAAATTACATTAACTTTCGTTTTTTGTGCTCTCTTAGATTTTGTCAGAAATCGATTGCACGGAGGTGAGTAGTGTGTACATTCTAAATTACATACGCGATAAAGTAATTCATATAATTGTCGCTAAATTGCCTTAATAACAATGTTAAATTAATTCGATTCATATAATAGAAGACCATGTTTTATCTCGGTATCTTTGCGGTGCTATGGTCGGCGATGACGTGTTCTCTTGGATTCACGATGGATCGTTCAGGTACCCGATATTAATCTTTGCTCTTATCTTTTCTTTGTTTGAATAGTCACATTTGTAATTATAATTGAGAACAAGAAAATACGAAGTGCATTAATTACACAAATTATTCAGTCAACTCTCGGCTTTGTTCTTCAAGACTTACTATTTCAGATCGCTACGCAGATCTCTATGCATGTCTGAATGTTTTTTCTCCCTTTTTTTTCGAGAAAATATAGTAACGTAATAAATATAGTCATACAAATGCGTAATGTGCATCTTTCAAATGCATTTTTTTTCAGAAAAATGCGCTGTTATTAAATACTTGTATTTACATACTTGTACGACTAATGATTTATGTTATACTTCACCAGCAGCGCTTGTGCCGCCCACGTGGGACATGGCGCCGTCTTTGGACACTTATCAAAGGGTCGACTCCGCGTTGAACAGCAAAACACAGGTGACAAGTACGGACAGAATATTGCAAGCTGTAGATGCGAAAGTGTCGGCAAAACTGACGGAGAGAATAGCGGATAATCAGACACGCGACAAGAGAGCGACAACTGAGAGTAGAGAAATCGGAATGAAACTTATCAATAACACGGCATCGACAATGAGAAATGACGCGTCTGATTCCTCTGAAGAAAACACTAATGTTGCTATTATTTCGCGAAATGTCATTCTGCTTTTGATTGACGAGAGAAATGAGAAAGAAAAAGGGGAAGAAAATCCGTGGAAAGACTACAAAAACAGACTACCGTTCGCGATAGAAGGATTTCTTCAAGTAACCCCTTAATCATATTAACCATTTTCCAAATAATTACAAAAAGTAAACCATAAATAATTAGATTTCTCTTTTTACATCTTTTTTCTACATTTTACAATAATTAGAACAAAATTTATAATATTTCTTGTAAAAATATATTTAAATGCTATTAATTATAATGAGAGCAGAGAATTCGCATTTCAAAAATATAATAACTCACAAATCAAGCAAATTAAAAAGATGCATTCATTTTTAGGTTGTGTTTAAGAATCTGACAGAATTATAGAATTCAATTTTTACAATTTTAATATTTGTATCGTGGGAAATCTGAATTATTGATATTAATTTTTTTATTCATATTTCGTAATTTGAATCTGAGATTCAAATTGTATAAAATTAATGTCGTTCAATCTTTTTATGTGAACGCATAAATGTCTGTATATTATGCATAATTACTACGTTAATTAGAGATGCAATAACAAGATAGAGACTAATGGTACCCCCTTGGATGGTGCATTGATTTCTGAAAACAAAGAAAAAGATTGCGATTGTGAGCGTATTCTTCGTTCGAATATCGGAGAATTGTTATCCTGGGCGAGACAAACGAGAGGAATGACAACAGGTTTAAGAGTTTTGTTTATCAAATAATAAAAAAATTTATTATCAAAAAAGTGTATATCCGTAAAATATATACTTTAGAGAATGTATGTTAAATATTAAATCTTAAATAATATAATGTTTACATTTCTTTTATCTCAATTACTAATTTTACGAGTACCATCAATTATATAGGCGCAGTTTCCGGTAGCAACTTCTCCATCCCGTTCTTTCCTAGATACAAATTTGATGTATCTAACGAAAGCAATGTAAAATTAGAACTACAGGAGAACAAACATGACTTTAACGACGCTTTGCAAATCATCGATCTTAGCGACGAAGCGAAATCTGTTCCTTCTTTAATTACAGCTGATCCTAAAACAGAGGGTGAGTTAAGATAGAATAATCAAAGAAACGAATAAATAAAAAATCTTCTCATAAGTTTTATTATTTTATTATTATAGTTAATATTTGTATAAAAAATTAAGAGCTTTTTAATACATTGTGTATAAATATAATTTTGAAATTAAAAGAAAGTATAAAAGAGATAAAATTAAATAATTGAACGAAACATTAATTCCGATAATTCCAACAATAGCTCTAAACATAAAACATTAAGTAATAAATAAAACTTTATAATTTTGGCTTAATTTATAAAGAAAAGTACAAAATTATAAAAAAACTTATTTTTTTAATTTTAGCAATGAATTATGACAGTACGTGGGACGTTTTTGATGTGTTCTCCAAAATTAGAATGGCAATCTTCCAGTCCCTGCTCGAATCGTTGAGTAGGAACCGTGTTACATCCGAGGACGATTTTTCATTGCATAGATCGTTTCCTATTAAACCAACTGTAACTAATTTAATCGAAAATACTATCAAAAAACTTAAGTCTGTTCCAAACCACAATGGTTACATGTTAGTCGCTGTCGTACCGAGAAGCGAAGGAGCTGCCATTGTCGATCTTATGCAACGCGAAGTAATCCTTGTTTTATTGAATATTAATAAATTTATCTCTAAATCTGGCTTATTGTTAGGACAATTTCACATAATATAATATGTTTGCCTTTATATTTCAGTAGTTACTAGAATATCTACATTAGATATATTATACATGCAAGACTAATATAAATATCGTAAATAAAACAATAAAGAAGAACATATTTATTCGTACATATCAATAAGAACTCTGACACACATATATATTAATTATTATTTTCCTGATCGATGCAGACTTCTCCGAAAGATACTCTCTTAGTTATGATGCAAATCTGTGCCGGGAACAAAAAATCTGTACCGTTCGTCGCGCAAGGACCGAATAATGAAATTCTTCGGGAAGTAGTAACGATCGAGGAACTTCCGATCATAATTAAAAAAGCGATCGCGAGCAATTTCCACGGTGCAGGATGCACAAATAGAAAGAGGCGCGATATTCCGATCGTCTCGCATCTGCCCATCGAGATTTTCTCGCAAGAATTGCCAGCGCGGAAACGAGTTGCCAGAGACAAGGATGCCGTTGAAAAACTGGTAAGGCAAACTGAGATTGTCATCAATAAATAATGATAATGTTTATTAAGTAAAAACTATTAAATATCACAAGTTTGATATTGACGTTTTTGTTTGATGGAACTTATAACGCTCGTATATAACTTGTTTTCTCGTAGAATAATACGTATTGAAAATATAAATATAAATAATACTGAGTTTATATATATAGCTATTCTATAATAGCTATTTAATTAAATTATTAATTATCATAATTGATAATATTTATTTGTAAAAAATAAATATTTAAATATCACTTTAACATTAATTACTATATCATCTTATATCTCTGTGCAGGAAACGAGTAAATTGACTGATATTGACATTAAAGTAAGTTTAATTTTATTCTTAATTCTTTATTGATGAAGATCATTCGTAATAAAAATTGCCATCGAAAGAAAGAATTATTGTATTTTTACAAAAATTTTTTTAAAAATTTAATTTGACAACCTCCTTATTCCCGAACATGAATACGAATGTTTTATGCCTTTTTCTTAGGATACTGTAAGCACCGTAAAGACAACAATTATCGAGAAAGAGAAACAAGCCAGAAGTTCGACTTCGTCCAAGACAATGCAATGTGGCCTCGCTACAGCGCTTGTCAGTGTCGCGGCCTCGGTCGTCGCCATGGCCGTTTAGGCTTCTTCAACGAGATATAATTTTTATTTCTATTTCTCCTTACTACTTTTCTCTATATTTATATGCAAGAAAACGCCGATCTCTCTCTATCAAGAATGCCAATTGAAAATTTTGATGATCTTTTTTTTTTTATAAAAGAAATAGCAGGAGAGAGAAAGGAATATATTGATTATGAGAGAGAATATGCGCGTTCGGGAAAATTATAATGTTATGTGATCACGATATTATATTTTTTACCAAATTCGTAAATAAACCTTAATGCAGTATATAAGCATTGTTATTCTGATTGCATCAGCATTGCACACTGATTGATTTATATTGTATTTTTCATTTATACAAAGCATCCGATTTCTGTCGACTCATATTTAAATAACGGAGCAATTAACTTTACTTAGCACAAACAGACAATGAAACTTTATATTCTTCGTTGAATTTCTCAGCAACTTTATTTCGGCGAACGTTTAATTTACGAGTTGCAAACTTATTTCAATATAAGTTAGAAAGTTAGGAAAGTGATCCCAACGTTCTCTTTAAGAAAAAAATTAATTTTAAATTCGCGAGAACACAAGGAAAATTTGTGATACATCAAAATTTGATCGAATTTAATTAAATAGAAAAGTAAACGCGTCAGTTCACGAAGACAAGGCTCTCTGACTCTGATGTAACAGCGGCAGCGTTTACCACGTGCGTTTACTCGCTGCAACTTTTTGCTCATTTCGGTCAATTTCAAAATCGCGCGATTGCAACCGGCACTTTTATACACACGCAAATTCCTTCGATTATGACGGTCGCCGCCGTTCGCGTAATTTTACGCTGGTGCAACAACGACGTAGCAACAACACGAGCCGATTATACTCGCGAAAGAAAGTAAGACGAGGGCATTGGGCGCTGACCGCGATTAGTCAGCATAGTAGTTCTATGCACTCGGAAGTGAATATGGTATAGAGAAAAATCGAGACAAAATCGCGATCATCATCTTTGCTGACTAGCGATTATGACAATAAAGTTTTTTTTTTTTTGCATTACGCACAGAAACAAGGACTCTGCACTTGTCGCTAATCAGAATTGCGCGTCACTTGATCTTACCGGGAAGCAATCTTATAAACCTTATAATATAACTATAAATAATTGATTAGACAATAAAATAAAATTGTGCAAAACATTTCGCATAAACGTACACCGAAGATTTTCTTATCGCAATCTACATATATTGTTTCAATATCTGATTCGCATATTATTCTCCGTGTGAGCGCAGAATATTTTTTCTACTGTCTCGAAAACGTATATGTAATGTGTTTAAAGGCGCATGTGGATCGATCCTTTGAGAAGAAAGTTTTAGATTTTGTTTATTAGAGCGAGAAGAAGACGGCGCTTGTGCATCAAGAGCGACCAAAACATGTGCGCGCTCACCGGTCGAGGATTTTCACGTTACATAAACGTACAATTTCATAAAGTTTCTAAAATCGCGGAATTATATTAAATGCAATAGCAATCGCCGCGTTTCGCTGGTAAACAAGACTGAGATTGCGAAATTGTTACTGTTGCGTTACAACGGGCGAATGCAAATTTGCAAGTGCGTCGGTTCCTTCGTCCTCCATATTGTCATTAGAATATGCAGCGGTTTGCAATATAGTGTTTCCGTTTGTATCTTTTTAGCTACAGAGTATAACATACAACATTTATATATATATATA